AATATTTAAAACCTTCAATTAATTATTGATTGTATCTGACCTGCACATTAAATAGACTAGTATTTGTGGTGTTTGAAATTATAGGGTCTTTTCTCTCTATAAAATTACATTTAAATACCTACGATGCATTTCAAATTGTCAGTGTAACATACCTATAATACGATAAGAATGTATTTTTGCCACTTAATATGATACGAGATTAAATATTCATACAGATTAAGTATACGCACCTACTTAAATTTAGGTTTATCAAATCAATATATCACATCACATGTACAAGTGCTCTATATTTCTTTATAGATTGCAATCTATTTTTATAAACCAAACAATAATTCTACGGTGGAATTACGTTCAATAAATATAGCGAATAAATGCTGCATCATAAATAATAATTGAACTCATAAAATAATATTGAGTTTGGCTTCAGACTTTCAGCGTATGAAAATTTATAAATAACTAAACAAAATATCCAACGGATTGGGGATAAAAATATCAGATAGAAAACATCTAAAGGTAAGCAACTTAACGGTCTAGTAGAATGCACATCGCATTAATGTTTAATGATACTTTTAATGTTATTAAAATAATGCACCTCATTCACACAATGTACCACATGCGAAAATAATCAACTAAATCTAATTAATAATAGATTCAAATAATATTCTTCATGTCCCATGACTATAGTGTTTGTTACATGTTTACAATAGCTATCAGTTAGAAGTTTTCATTAGGTAGGCTTATAATAAAAACGCTTTACTTATTATAAATATCAAAATAATTTAACCGATTATATACGTTCAACAGAATTTCAAAGAAGGCAGGTTCCTGCTAAATTGTAATTGTTTACCAACGTGTAACAATGGACGTTGACAGTACTATACTTTGGAAAAACCTATATCGTTTACAGTGAGTACAAACAATAGTATTCTCAATAAAAATTAGGGTTTTAATTCCAAAAAGGAAATCCATATTTTTGGAATATTTACTTTTGATGTAGTTGGGTCAAAATTATTAGAAATAAAAATTATTTTTCTCCTTGAAAGAAGAATTGTAACACTTTAAATTTCAAAGGTTCAAGTCGGTTTGTAAAATGTTGAAAATATTGTGCCTATGCAAGTTCAGTTCTATTTATTATTTAGAATAGTTTTTGTCTTCTAACAATATACAGTTAGCATCTATTTTTTACAGGTATTTGGTTTTTCTACATAAAGAAAATATTTAGGACTCTTAGTATGACATATTGGCATTGGTTTTGTTAATAAGATAACGGTGAAAGTAATATAAAGAAAAGATTCAAATTCTATATATTTGATATGAAATATATAAGGTTAATTGAAACTCACCTTCATCTGGGCTGAGATCTGCAAACTTCACACCACCACTGTAAAAGAAAAGTCAAGAATTGCAGTGTTGTACTACCATAACAATAGCTAATAATTTCAATATTAAATAAATTTCATATTTTGAGTAACTTCACTAAAATTATATATCAAACATACAATAAATGAGTTTCTGTAAAGGTAACCCTTACAAACACCCAAAACTGTATGGTGCTAATTTCAAATTCTATTTTTTTAGGGTGCTCATTAAAAGTTATCAGGTTTTATTATACAACAAATTGAATTTAAAGCAAAAAAAAATATAAAATGGTATTTACAATAATAAATACATACACAATTTAAAATAACTGTGTTAATAAACATATTCAAATGTATATTAAACCTATTGCAAGATATTGTTTATTAACTATACATGGAAATTAATTGCAAATATAAAGACAGATATGGGGAGGATAAATTACTATAAATATGTATAATACAATAACTACTGAAGTACCTATTACCTACATGGTTACTGTTTGTATTAAAATCAATTCTATGTAAAATAAAACTCTGAATATTTAACATGCACCCAATCAATGTAGATTCACTTCGTACCTTAGGAGCACGGTAGCCGTTTCCGGCACCCGGAACACCTGGAAATAAACACAATGTGGAACGATGTCTTACTGGATCTCCAAATGGAGAAACCATAACCACAGGAAACCACAAATCCTACTACAGCAATTCTATGTTTGTATTTTAATCTAAATGAAAATTATATTCTTATACTCGCGGCAATGAAAATAAAGGACAATTACATTAAATTACAACTTTCAATGTTTACATTATTGTTCACTGTTAGCACAAGTAATCTATTGCTAATGAAGAAAATTACCCTCATTTTAGTAAGCAATATTTCTATATGCTATACTAAAAAATAAGTCTAATGTTTTACACTGACAATATATATAGTAATTTTGCCAATACTGGCCCATAGAAGATTTTCAATAAAAAAAATTATGCTACTGTTTACTAGTTTTAGATATGACAATATGACCGAGACTTTGAATTTTGATTACATATATACACAATTAGGTTTTAAATAATATAAAACATAGGTTTCTAATTTAATGTAACAGAAACAAATTTATGTATGTCTATATTTTATATCTGATATTACACATTAATATATGCAACAAGTAAATAGGGATATATTTAACTGCAGATAAAGCAAATTATGTTTATAAAAGACCAATAGTACTACATATCTTTCTTGTCCTTTAATTTCAATCATTCTAAATTTAAAACATCAATTCAAATTGCCATTAAATGTTTGTGGGAACAATAAAATTTAGTAACTTTAGATTATATTTATCAAAACTAGTGAAAGGTATACTTAAATATATTTTCTCATACTGCATTCATAAGAGTTACATTAAGTATAGTATTAGTAGATAAACATTACACAGATCAGTCACAAAATATCATGAACACAATTATTTATTTTGAATTGTACATAAGCTCTAATACTTGAAATATACAGTTAGATACATAATATGAGTTGGTATTTCTCACCTTCCATCCCAAATTCTCAAAGAATGTGCTAAGACGAGACTGTCCAGTTGTTTTGCCACCACAGGGACCTGGATTTAGATTAAAAAAAAATGTATGGGGGTTATTAAATTATCCAATGTGTACAGAATCACATATAACAACTTTGACTAAAAAATACAAGTTGACAAGAAAATATGACTGAAACAGATAAATTACAGAACTTAGGTCAGTAAATAAGATTACCGCTTTTCCTGTGACCTGCCACCAACACATCACAAATAAATTTCAAATTAGTTGATGTAGTTCGCATCGTTGTCAATTCAAGTTCTAACTGATGCTGATAGTGCACCTAAGTGTGTCTCCACGTGTTGCTTTGTCTAGCCTATTTTTTATTCTCTAGAATCAAGTATTCACTCGGTTTTGTAGAAAAATAATACATAATATTTTAACAAAATACACAATAATAGAAATGACAAAATGTTATAAATTATTCAAAGAAAAAAAGAAAATCAAGACAACATTTAGTACTCACCTCCCGTAAGAACAATTTTATAAACAGTTTTTTGAGATTGATTTGCCATTTTTAAAAAAAAACAAAAAGATAGATTAAAGTTAAATTACACTACCAAGCTTACGAAGAATATAAATATCATAAAAATGTTGAATTTACAAAAGTGGTAAAAAGAGCCATGACAAAATACATATCGAGGAGTAACCGTGCGTTGAAATGAAAGATTGGATTGGATTTTTGTAACGAAGCTACAGATAATAAATAGTATACAGTGTTACCAGAAAATTCAAAGGAAATGGCCAAAACGGCCAATGGATAAATTTCTCGACAGGAAAATGCCAGTACGTTTATTATGTATTATTCACATTAATTAGATTATAATATACATATTAGCATTTATATAGAGATGTAGTGTATGTAGAACTCTCTCTAGTATTAGAGAGTTCATTTAACTGTCGTCTCGCGCTGCGCCGGGAATAAGCCATCCGTGAGGAATAAGAGAGGGGATATTCCCGTTTAAAGGCCGCGAAGTTAAAATATGGAGTTTTATACCGATATTATGAAGATAACAACTAATGTACTAGAAGATATAAAAATACTTAAATAACGAATAAGTTAACACTTCACAGGCAACAATTTCAGATTAAATAATTTAAAAATTTTAATTATTCACAGTAAAGTTTTAAAAGTATCTGAAACTATAAAATTGAGATATAATTTATGCAAATAAAAATAGACAAAATAAATTTTATTGAAATGTATTTTAATAAAAATATGTTAAGATGTTAACAATAATTACACGAAATGAAATGTCTTAAATTTTTTTATCATGACTACATTTGCAAACTATAACGAAACATGACGAACGATACACTGGTACATTATATAAATCAAACCTGCAAACCATTTTTCGGTATCAAAACTTAGATAGCGTGCTTCTTAATTGATTTAGTTAAGAAAAAAGTGCTAAACTGTGACTACAGTATTTGCTTTCTTGCATTACATTTTGGCAACACTCAAAATTGACAATGTAGGTATTTGAAGACATTTTTGAATATTCTTATGTTGTACCGGTTATAGTACTTAATAGGTTTTTTTAATGGATGTAATGAAATGGTGCACCTATCTGCGCTAACGGTATACGCTGGCGAGGCACCAATGGAGGATTAGTAGAAGTAGATTAGTAGAAAATGGTTAATTAGCTCACCGTGGCAAATTGATTAGTAATTTATCATGATGGTTTCCAGAAGGTACCCCGTGGAGGTCAATTTGATATAGTACATTGCTAACAAAAGAATTATTAATCCACATTACTAAAAATCCCCTACAGTGAGTATGGGTATATACTTTGGTTTTAAACACTGCCCACATTCAAATCCCAGTTACTGTATTTTTTTTTTAAATGAAGGATAGTCTAAAGAAAAGAATTACACCAAAAAAATCATGAAAATCTGGGCTTAGATCACAATTATGTATTAACAAGAAATTCAAATCACTATAGAGTAATATAATAGTGTATAGTTGTACACCATTTGTCCTAAGTTTTATCAATTCTGCTGTGCAACACACACCTACAAAGCCACAGATAATTATTATTAAATTTATTATTTGGACCACAGTGGGTACAGTATTAATATTTTTCAGTCTTATTCTAGTTAAAGTATAATTTGGACCACACAAATGCAACTCATGACATTTAAGCTTTTAGGCCACAATATAATGTATGCAACCAAGTTTTACCACTACAAGCTGTTTTAATAAATAATACAAATAATTAAGTTAAACCTAACTCACTAAGTTGCAATATACAATGCCGCTCACATTCTGTGTTGCCATATTTTATAACAGTTATACTTAATTGACTAGTATTATGTAATGTAGAAATTTGAGACTTCTCTAATATCATTACTGTCCCAGGAATGTATCTCCAATACTTTCCAAGACAGCGATTGCGCTTCTCAACATAGCCCGGTCCTTTTAAAGGTGAACTCAGTTCTTCATCATCTGAAATGGACAATACATAAATAGATTATTATGAGTTGAGCTGACTTGAGATTTAAGAAATCGTTGCTTATAGATATCTCACCTTCAAGCACAGATACATCTTGATCTATCCAGCGAGTTTGTATGTTAACACAAAGTATAGATAAATTAAATTCTTTGTATATATATCTGCAGTAGTTTATCATTGTATTTAAATATGTTAGACCTGTAATAAGAATTGTATTTATATTATACATTATAAGTTGTTTATAACAGTATACAGAGTATATATTTAATGTATATCAATAGTTTACATTACATGATTACCTATTTTATTTGAGTCACCCAAGTGTTGAAACATCAAACATGGTAATGAATCTATTATTATCAAAGATATATTCTCAATATCACATTGATTATTTTTTATTTTTTTTAATAATTCTATCAATTCTTCAATAGTCCACAGACATATTACTTTTATTTTATATAATATCAATGCCATATCCTGAAATGAAATATTGTATTACAATGGGCATAATTACAAAATTAATAGTATACAATATTTAAAATAATAATAATTTCCAAAATAATCACATCAAAATACAAACCTTATGAGAGTATCCATGTGTATCTAAAATTTTTTGTATTCTCATTGCAGAAAAGTCACCCTTAGTGTCAATATAGAGAACATTATTTTCTGTATTTATTACACAATTAATAGCAAGTTGAAAGCATAATTGTGTTTTTCCTGATTCAGAAAGTCCACATAATTCAGTTATACCCACAGGAATACCACCATCCAGTATTTCATCTAAGCTAAAATGATAATATTAAAAACTTAAGTATGGTCATAATAAAATATTAATTTTAAATGTGGAAATTCCATAAATGAAGTATAATTATAATTAATAATAATTATAGTAAAGGTGAAATTTCATGGTTGAAGTCTTCAATAGTACTAAAACTTGTGATAATACCCAAATAAATGAGATATATAAAATTAATACACATTTAGACCACATCTTAGAAAATTAGCACAATTTATTACCAGTTTATTATTTATTACAGATAACATAATTTACAGCTAATGCAGGAGAACAGAAATAGTGTAATTTGGAATAAATCCACATTAATTTGAGTCATTGAATCAGTAACAGGTACAGATGCATATTTATAATAGATGTCCCTAGATGTGATGAAGCATATTTATGATGATCTCAACACATTATCATTAACTAAATGTAATGTGAATGGTGGAGTGGGGGAAACTGATTCTTATTTGGACTTCCAACCCATAGCTAGCAATGTATCATGTTACACTGACCACTGAAAATCATGGTCCTTAAATTTGATATACCTATTTACAACAAATGGTTACAAGACTTTACTTAATTATCACCTAACATTCTTCCCAAAAATGAATATGAAAAAAAATATATAAATCACCATATACTGAATTTTTTCAGTAATACAATTATTACAAGAGCAACTATAGTTCCATTATTTTAACATCTTTACAATATTATAATTTTTGTAGACACTAGCTGCACACGCGACTTTGTCTGCGTTTTGTTTCTAAAATAAAAGTACTTAATTCTTATTACTTCTTAGTACATCAGCTAGCTTCCAAAAAAAATATTTATATGTCTTGAGTATACATGTATAAATTAAATTAAATCACATCTTACTTCACTATACCGGTGCGTATCTTTTTATTTTTCAGTATTTTCTCAACAAGTTTATCTCCTGTAATTACTACTGCGGAATATTTCTTAAATATATCATTCCTGACTTCTAAAACTTGAGCGAACGTTAATTTGGTTAGTTTCGATAACTTTTCAGGATCTTCATGAAGGAAATCTTTAATAGTGGTAATTCTATTCTGTGTGAGAATTTTAAACACATATGCGGTTAAATATACATGTTCTATGGATTTTAGGTTTTGCATCGTCTAATTGTGGAGAAACGCGAAATATTTGAATATTTAAACTTTATTCAACTTTGAGGGTACACCCCACAGAACACTAATATTGTACAGCCACAGATCAAGTTTCATTCCCATCACAGATTCACAATAAATACTCATAGCCCAAGAGCCCACGACTGCCAGACATACGTCATTTTAATAAACGTGAAAGTTCTTGTATGTGTGTCCCCAACACAGGTAAGAACGATCCCCAAATATGAAACCTGGATCGTGGTTCCTTTGGCAGGTACCAGGTAACAAAGGTGTAAAAAAAATCATACCAAATTCGTTATTTTAAGAAACTCCATATTTTCATATATTGTTCGTAGCACTATTATAACTTGCGCTGCTCATTGCCAGACACGTAGTGTGGTTCCAACCCTCCGCCGGACCCCCCTAAACTATACTATTTTAGAAATAAACTTACGTCATTTTAATAAAGCTGAAATTTATATATATTATTGAGAGTTCTCTCAAACTGAGTTTCCTAAATTGCCAGACAGTTTTCTTGGTTCCTTATCATACCAGACTCATTGAAACCGTATATTGGGTAACAACGGTGTATACAATTTCATATAAAATTCGTTATTTTAAGATGCTCCATTTTATCACATATTGCTCGTAACAGTATTATAACTTGCTCTGCTCATTGCCAGACCCTTAGTGTGGTTCCAACCCCCCGCCGGACCCCCCTAAACTATACTATTTTATAAATAAACTTACGTCATTTTAATAAAGCTGAAATTTATATATATTATTGAGAGTTCTCTCAAACTGAGTTTCCTAAATTGCCAGACAGTTTTCTTGGTTCCTTATAATACCAGACTCATTGAAACCGTATATTGGGTAACAACGGTGTATACAATTTCATATCAAATTCGTTATTTTAAGATGCTCCATTTTTTCACATATTGCTCGTAACAGTATTATAACTTGCCCTGCTCATTGCCAGACCCTTAGTGTGGTTCCAACGCCCCGCCGGACCCCCCTAAACTATACTATTTTGTAAATAAACTTACGTCATTTTAATAAAGCTGAAATTTATATATATTATTGAGAGTTCTCTCAAACTGAGTTTCCTAAATTGCCAGACAGTTTTCTTGGTTCCTTATTCCACCAGAATCATTGAAACCGTATATTGGATAACAACGGTGTATACAATTTCATGTCAAATTCATTATTTTAAGATGCTCCATTTTTTCACATATTGTTCGTAGCATTATTATAACTTGCGCTGCTCATTGCCAGACACGTAGTGTGGTTCCAACCCCCCGCCGGCCCCCCCTAAACTATACTATTTTAGAAATAAACTTACGTCATTTTAATAAAGCTGAAATTTATATATATTATTGAGAGTTCTCTCAAACTGAGTTTCCTAAATTGCCAGACAGTTTTCTTGGTACCTTATCATACCAGACTCATTGAAACCGTATATTGGGTAACAACGGTGTATACAATTTCATATCAAATTCGTTATTTTAAGATGCTCCATTTTATCACATATTGCTCGTAACAGTATTATAACTTGCTCTGCTCATTGCCAGACCCTTAGTGTGGTTCCAACCCCCGCCGGACCCCCTAAACTATACTATTTTATAAATAAACTTACGTCATTTTAATAAAGCTGAACTTTATATATATTATTGAGAGAACTATTAAACTGAGTTTCCTAAATTGCCAGACAGTTTTCTTGGTTCCTTATCCTACCAAACTCATTGAAACCGGATATTGGGTAACAACGGTGTATACAATTTCATATCAAATTCGTTATTTTAAGATGCTCCATTTTTTCACATATTGCTCGTAACAGTATTATAACTTGCTCTGCTCGTTGCCAGACCCTTACTGTGGTTCCAACCCCCGCCGGACCCCCCAAACTATACTATTTTATAAATAAATTTACGTTATTTTAATAAAGCTGTAATTTATATATATTATTGAGAGTTCTCTCAAACTGAGTTTCCTAAATTGCCAGACAGTTTTCTTGGTTACTTATCCTACCAGACTCATTGAAACCGTATATTGGGTAACAACGGTGTATACAATTTCATATCAAATTCGTTATTTTAAGATGCTCCATTTTATCACATATTGCTCGTAACAGTATTATAACTTGCTCTGCTCATTGCCAGACCCTAAGTGTGGTTCCAACCCCCGCCGGACCCCCTAAACTATACTATTTTATAAATAAACTTACGTCATTTTAATAAAGCTGAACCTTATATATATTATTGAGAGAACTATTAAACTGAGTTTCCTAAATTGCCAGACAGTTTTCTTGGTTCCTTATCCTACCAAACTCATTGAAACCGTATATTGGGTAACAACGGTGTATACAATTTCATATCAAATTCGTTATTTTAAGATGCTCCATTTTTTCAATAACGTAAATTTATTTATACAATAGTATAGTTTGGGGGAGTCCGGCGGGGGGTTGGAACCACACTAAGGGTCTGGCAATGAGCAGAGCAAGTTATAATACTGATACGAGCAATATGTGAAAAAATGGAGCATCTTAAAATAACGAATTTGATATGAAATTGTATACACCGTTGTTACCCAATATACGGTTTCAATGAGTCTGGTAGGATAAAAAACCAAGAAAACTGTCTGGCAATTTAGGAAACTCAGTTTGAGAGAACTCTCAATAATATATATAAATTTCAGCTTTATTAAAATGACGTAAGTTTATTTCTAAAATAGTGTAGTTTAGGGGGGTCCGGCGGGGGTTGGAACCACACTAAGGGTCTGGCAATGAGCAGAGCAAGTTATAATACTGTTACGAGCAATATGTGAAAAAATGGAGCATCTTAAAATAACGAATTTGATATGAAATTGTATACACCGTTGTTACCCAATATACGGTTTCAATGAGTCTGGTATGATAAGGAACCAAGAAAACTGTCTGGCAATTTAGGAAACTCAGTTTGAGAGAACTCTCAATAATATATATAAATTTCAGCTTTATTAAAATGACGTAAGTTTATTTCTAAAATAGTATAGTTTAGGGGGTCCGGCGGGGGTTGGAACCACACTACGTGTCTGGCAATGAGCAGCGCAAGTTATAATAATGCTACGAACAATATGTGAAAAAATGGAGCATCTTAAAATAATGAATTTGACATGAAATTGTTATCCAATATACGGTTTCAATGATTCTGGTGGAATAAGGAACCAAGAAAACTGTCTGGCAATTTAGGAAACTCAGTTTGAGAGAACTCTCAATAATATATATAAATTTCAGCTTTATTAAAATGACGTAAGTTTATTTACAAAATAGTATAGTTTAGGGGGTCCGGCGGGGGTTGGAACCACACTAAGGGTCTGGCAATGAGCAGAGCAAGTTATAATACTGTTACGAGCAATATGTGAAAAAATGGAGCATCTTAAAATAACGAATTTTATATGAAATTGTATACACCGTTGTTACCCAATATACGGTTTCAATGAGTCTGGTATGATAAGGAACCAAGAAAACTGTCTGGCAATTTAGGAAACTCAGTTTGAGAGAACTCTCAATAATATATATAAATTTCAGCTTTATTAAAATGACGTAAGTTTATTTCTAAAATAGTATAGTTTAGGGGGGTCCGGCGGGGGGTTGGAACCACACTACGTGTCTGGCAATGAGCAGCGCAAGTTATAATAATGCTACGAACAATATGTGAAAAAATGGAGCATCTTAAAATAATGAATTTGACATGAAACCGTTGTTATCCAATATACGGTTTCAATGATTCTGGTGGAATAAGGAACCAAGAAAACTGTCTGGCAATTTAGGAAACTCAGTTTGAGAGAACTCTCAATAATATATATAAATTTCAGCTTTATTAAAATGACGTAAGTTTATTTACAAAATAGTATAGTTTTGGGGGTCCGGCGGGGGGTTGGAACCACACTAAGGGTCTGGCAATGAGCAGAGCAAGTTATAATACTGTTACGAGCAATATGTGAAAAAATGGAGCATCTTAAAATAACGAATTTTATATGAAATTGTATACACCGTTGTTACCCAATATACGGTTTCAATGAGTCTGGTATGATAAGGAACCAAGAAAACTGTCTGGCAATTTAGGAAACTCAGTTTGAGAGAACTCTCAATAATATATATAAATTTCAGCTTTATTAAAATGACGTAAGTTTATTTCTAAAATAGTATAGTTTAGGGGGGTCCGGCGGGGGTTGGAACCACACTACGTGTCTGGCAATGAGCAGCGCAAGTTATAATAGTGCTACGAACAATATATGAAAATATGGAGTTTCTTAAAATAACGAATTTGGTATGATTTTTTTTACACCTTTGTTACCTGGTACCTGCCAAAGGAACCACGATCCAGGTTTCATATTTGGGGATCGTTCTTACCTGTGTTGGGGACACACATACAAGAACTTTCACGTTTATTAAAATGACGTATGTCTGGCAGTCGTGGGCTCTTGCTCTATCAGTGTTGCCGCACGTTTTAACTTTTGCCTTTAATTTGATTTTCTATTAAATTTTGTCCAAAATCCTTCTCAAAGTCTAGTTTCAAGAAAAAAACAAGAAGTGCATTTTTTTTCAATACATGTTATTCTTCTTTATATTATGTAACTTTAATTAAATGTGATCCTATTTCATTTTATTGCGTCTTTATGAAAAATTTTATTAACGGCAAAATATATCAGTCTCATTGGAAACAACAAATGTTCCACCTACGAAGCAACAATAATTTTAAATCAAGCAAAATTTTAGATGAAGTTGGCTTAACCGTGTTACTACGTAAACTATGAAGCAAATAACTTCTCAATCAATGTTTTCTAAATCTTAATTTAAATAAACATGTGACATATTTTGTAAAATAAAACTCAGAATATATTTATAGCACAAACGCTATATAACTGTGGTATTATTCAATGTCTGTACAAATATTTATTAAATATATGTAGTTTCACTGCTTTTGCATGAGATTTTTAGCTCCTTTTATGGCTCCTTTCTAATAATAATTTCCATATTGAACTAGGCAACACTGCAAACTACCGACGCCCGCCATTCGTGTTTGCTGTCAAAACCTTAATTTCGATGTCTTGAAATTTATTATAAGTTTGCACTCTTTAATATTAATTTAATGGGACATTGATAGTAATTATAATTTCTTTTTTACAATAAAAAATGTCTAATATATCACTTGATAAGGAAACATTCTATCGTCGCATGAAAAAGCTGTATGCAGCATGGAAGGTTGGTTGTGTTCTTTATTGTAATCTCATATTTGATATTGTTAATTAATAAAGTATAATTTTCAGGCCGCTGCAGCTGATTCTAAAAGCGATGAGGCACTATCCAAGATAGATTGTCTAGTATCTTGTGTCGGTGTGGATGAAGATACCCTTTACAGTAAATCAACAGCGTTACAGGTTCGTTCCTTATATTAACGTGCGTACAAACGTGTTTTTTTATTAGGCTGACGCTTTTGCGTCTTATATTTATCTTAATTTTATAGAGCATATACTTTGAGTATAATAGTTTATTTATTGTGTCTACTTTTTACTCTGAATTATTTCTTATTGAAACAGACTTCAATCAGATCAATTTTGGTACGGTTTTGTTAAGATTTAAGATAGTTATTTTATTAAGATTTCTCATATTAGAGGTATAGTGCATCCTTTATATTTATTATAGTATATATATATCATATACTTGCAAGTAATATTTCTATTGTGATAATAATTCAGTTTTTGTTTCATGACAATTAGTTTTATTTGTGAATGTTAAGACAACTATATATTAAATTATTACAGACATGGCTATTTGGATATGAGTTACCAGATACAATAACTGTCCTCACAGAGCACAGCATGTGTTTCCTTGCCAGTAAAAAGAAAATTGAATTTCTCCGACAAATTGAAAATGGTAAAGATGAAACAGAGTTACCTCCTGCAAAACTTCTTGTTAGAGATAGAGTAAGTATTTATTTATACCAATGGTAATGTATTTTTTTTTTTATTAATTTGAATATGTCTTGATTATAAACTTGTAACTTTATCCGTTTCGAAAGTAAGAGACTCAGAATAGTAACTACTTTAATCTAAAATGTCACATGTCTATGTGACATTTTGTATCAGAGACCAATTATTAATTAATTAATTATTTTTGCTAGCATATTAATTAGTTGATTTCTTTTAAAATATAACATATATTTAAACATTTGGATATGTTGATGTTTCATTTTGTTTTAAATCACTATATGGCTGGTATCTTCAAATAAATCTAGACCAATTAGTCTGATAAAGAAAATCAATTATACATTAATCTATTATTATGAATACTAAGAGTTCATACCATAGATTCTTATGCACCCGATTTATTCCATATCATCTCTTTACATTATCAAATTAGTATTATTCTCATATATGCATATACACCGATTATGTTCAGTCAAGTTCATAGATTACATTATATTATCTAGTGTATGAATGTAAATTTACAACACACTTTGTATGGCTTGATAAACTCTGCATACATTCATGGTATTCATTGTATTGCAGTATTATATTATTGGTTACACAGCAGGGCACTAAGTATCATTACTTACATGATTAGTATATGAATGCACAATTATTTTAAAATGTATGTTAAGAAAAAATTCTTTATATTATTATTCATTCCAGAATGATAAAGATAAAGAAAACTTTAATAAACTTATACAAGAAATAAAAAAATCAAAATCAGGAAAATCTCTTGGTGTATTTGCTAAAGATAATTATCCAGGTGAATTTTGCGAAAGTTGGAAGACGGCAATGAAAGCAGAGAAATTGGAAAATGTTGACATCAGTTCGTCAATTGCCCTCCTCATGGCGCCCAAAGAAGATCCTGAAGTAATAACTGTGAAAAAGGCTTGTTTGGTGACTGTTGATGTGTTTACGAAATATTTAAAAGACCAAATCATGGAAATTATTGATTCAGACAAGGTATGTTTATTTATTTATAAGTTCAGTCATTAGGTATTACATAATATTCACTGAATTTCTATTCTTTTTGTCTATACTGTGAGAGTAGCAAACAAACACAATCAATAATCACTCTTGGGATCTGTGACCACTGCCATATGGTGTGTCCAGGAGCAATACAATGATAACTAAAAGGAGTTTACATATCAAATAGTAACTAATCTATAAGTGTAAAATTTTGCAGTAACATGTTGTAATGTGTGGAACAGCTTGACTGATTCTCATGAAATTTTGTGAGCGTATTGAGTAGGTCAGAGAATCGGCCAACATCTATTTTCATCCCTCTAAATGTTAGGGGTAGTCCACCCCTAAATATTTTTTTATTTTAAGGAAAAACAATGTTTGCCGGGACAGCTAGTATAATATATAAAGCTGCATTATTACATATGAAATTAATATTATACAGATATATGTTAGACCCAAAACACATTTATTAATTTTACGTCAACAGAAAGTAAAACATTTGAAGCTTGCTGAAGGAGTAGAAGCTGCAGTATCAGACAAAAAATATGTCACAGGTGTTGATACAAGCCAAGTAGACATGTGCTATCCACCAATTATCCAATCAGGAGGGAACTATAGTCTCAAATTTAGTGCTGTGTCTGACAAGAATCACTTGCATTTTGGTGCTATAGTATGTTCCTTAGGTGCAAGATACAAATCATATTGTTCTAACATTGTTCGTACATTGCTGGTCAATCCTACTGATGAAGTTCAGAGCAATTACAATTTTCTCTTGAACTTGGAAGAGGAGGTTATGAAACACCTGGTGGCCGGCGCAAAACTGTCATCAGTATATGAGGCTGGTTTGGCATTAGCAAAGAAAGAGAAATCCAATCTGGTGGATAATCTTACAAAGACTTTCGGGTAAGTAATTTTAAATTGATATTTAGTGTTTGTTGTGTTAAGACTGTGATCAAAACAGATGCTTCATGTAATTAAAGCAGTTTACTAAAAATTTTGTATTCTTTGTCACAAGTTTGAGGTTTCTATAAATATTAATTGTACTTCTTTTGCACTTCAGATTTGCCATGGGCATAGAATTTCGAGAAAGCTCAATTGTGATTGGGCCAAAAACTTCAATAGTTGCTAAGAAAGGCATGGTATTCAACATTAACATTGGCTTGGCTAACCTACAAAACAGTGTCGCTACTGATAAGGAAGGAAAGGTTAGTACATTCACTTCAACATAATAGATATTCTTCTGCATTACTTAATTTGATTATGTCATATAGCACTATTTTGATATTGCACAATATTAAATATTATTATGCAATATAATTTTTAATATTGTGAAAATATTATTATATCAATCAAAAATAGGTCGCAATATTCTTAGAGGTAGATATAATGTCCGTCATGCATTTCCTCATTTCATTTTATTAATGGACTAGTTATTACCCATGAGATCATTCCCATGGATTCAGACTTTTTTTTATTAAAATTAATAGAATTTCTTAAATCCCTTCATTATCTTTATAACCTTCATTATGTTTATCATTATCTGCGCGTGAAAGTCCCGTCAAATTAGGTCCAGTCGTTTCAGAGATCACAGACACAAAAATTTCAAATAATATTTTTTTATGTAATTGTCATAATACTTTCGTATAAATTTAGTGTAATCCTATTAATTTGAAATTACAAATCACATCTTAAATTTTGTTTAATCGTATAGATATTGTAAATCAAAATTAACTTTTGTTAATTTTATGTCTGATTAATAATCTAAAATTTATGTCATCACACTAGAGGGAAGGGGACTCTCAAGTATGCTGAACTCACAATACCTATACTCATAGGTTTGATTTTATCAGAATTGTTTTTCTTATTAGAATTTAATAACATGTCATTTTATCCTTTTATATCCTGTTAGTATTTGATACAAATTACATATTAACTTTATTTGATTTTTGTTATTACAATTTTAATACAACTGAAGCATTGTAACATTGTTTCTGTTCAGACATATGCACTGTTCATTGGTGACACAGTGTTGGTGAATGAGGAGCAGCCGGCATCTCTCCTCACACAATCGAAAAAGAAAATCAAGAACATTGGTATATTTTTAAAGGATGATGATGAAGATGAGGAAGAAGAGAAGGAGAACAAGACTGAGATACTTGGTGAGTGAGATTAGTGCAACCAGTTGTCATTTAAAAACTAATTTGTTTTTTTTTTTGCTTCAGAATTAAAAATGAAGGACTAATGGCAAAGTATCTTGCTGTTGTAAAGATTGTTGTTGTTGTTAGTAAAGCTTTATTTAATAAAAATCAAAATTGAAATTGCAAAGTTGAGTTCAACTTTTGTTTGAATTAAATTAATTTACTGCTATAATTAATGACAGCATTTATATATTTTCTTATTTAGAATTAATGTTTTTCGACGAAAAAGAAGGCAGATACATATTAGAAACTTGTGTGGCTTGTCATTTCAATTTCATCTATCACTCTTGCTGTAGAACCTATTAACATCGTGTATGGCACTTCTTTTACGCAATGTGCGAACGGGTTGATCTGGTAAGCTGGAAAGAAGAGTATGCGAGACCCTACATGCTCATTCATCTGCTACATATACATAACCTACTCCATGTCTTTCAGACTGTAAAGGTGCCATGCGCGAAGTTGATAGCCTATAATTGATAATGAACCATGAATATCATGGTTCATTATCAATTTTTCTCTCCTTTTCATGAATAATGTAATACATTTAAATAGTATTGTTGTTTATATTTAACAGTGTATTTGAAAACTTAATCAGATTTGTTATTATAATTATAAATCTGAATAAAAGTCTCAGTTCAGATATGTATATGTATGTGTTGTATTTTAACAATAAAATGTGATTGAGTTTTCATTTATTAATACATGACTTCACCTATGCATAGGAAAAGATTTTAGGTGATACTGATCATTTAATGTATTGAAGAATTTGTGAGTTATTTATCTATTTTTACTTACATGCAATCGTGGACGGATAGAAAACGGAGGTGAGTTCTATTGTATTAGATTGCCCACTAATTGCATGTAGTGAGTTTTAATTATGCTCCAAGTGTTGCGATATAACTTGCTGAAATATAAGTAAATAGTTAGTTCAAATAAAGATGATTAGTTTGATTCTCCTAAACATATATAAAACTGTCACAAAGTAGAAAATAAAATATATTGCGTTTTTTATTAAATATAAGTCTAAATGAATGATTCTTTGTAATGTGAATAAAGTTTATTTGTGAAGTTGTACCACTCTCATCTCATTCCCTTATAAATTTGAATCTAGTAATAAGCATCATAAGTTTTATTTCTATATCTATTATTTAAACACGCACACATTTAACTTTAGATTAATTTATGAGCACATAAAAATTTAATGTTGTATGCATTACCCTAGCAACATAATTCTTAATATTATACAAAATTGTAGGCAGAGGCAAAAGGACAGCTGTTATCGAATCTAAGCTTCGCACAGAGCATTCCTCAGAGGAAAAACGGAAGGAACATCAAAGGGAACTCGCTATTGCTTTGAATGAAAAAGCAAAAGAACGTTTGGCCAAGCAGTCCAGTGGAAAGGATGGGGAAAAGATTAGGAAAAGTACAATTTCATATAAAAGTGTCAGTCAAATGCCTAGAGAGAATGAAGTAAAGGAGCTTAAATTGTATGTTGGTGAGTTCATTGATTTTTATATATGTAGATATACACTAAAAACATTATTTGTTAAAGTTATATACATATATTTATAAGGTAGATGTGTATATTTAACATTAAGATAACAAAATGGTTTTTGAAATTATTAAATAATATCATATTAGATCCTTGACCAGGATAAAGTTTGCATAACTCTTCAAATTTTAAAATTAACTGAACAGGTCAATTTATTACCAATCGTAATTTTCAGACCGTAAATACGAGACAGTGATCCTGCCGATATTCGGTGTACCAGTACCATTCCATATTTCCACAATAAAAAATATATCACAATCAGTAGAAGGCGATTATACGTACCTTAGGATAAATTTCTTTCATCCTGGTGCCACTATGGGCAAAAATGAAGGGAATTATGCACAACCGGATGCTACATTTGTTAAAGAAGTGTAAGTGACATCATTTTTAATTGTACATTTAAAATTAAAGTCAATTATTCATAATAATATTTGTATTAACCATAGTTATATAAGAAAAAAAATTAATTAAGAGTACAAGTTTTAATAATGTTGCATTTTGAATTTATCTTTGCCTATGATTACACATTACGACTGTATATTGCAAATAATAATATACAATATTTTACTATATTAAATAAACACTCCAAATATAAAACAAAGGTTTAATAAAGGTCCAAAGATAATTTTTTTTTCTTATATATTAACTTTTAAATCTACTTATTAATTATTTTAGCACCTACCGAAGTACAAACACTAAAGAACCAGGCGAGATATCTCCGCCGTCCTCGAATCTCAATACAGGCTTTAGACTCATCAAAGAAGTACAGAAAAAGTTCAAAACGCGCGAAGCTGAGGAAAGGGAAAAAGAAGACTTAGTAAAACAGGACACTTTGGTTCTCTCACAGAGCAAAGGAAACCCAAAACTTAAAGATTTGTATATCAGGCCCAATATAGTCACTAAGAGAATGAGTGGTTCTTTAGAAGCGCATTCAAACGGATTCAGGTTCACATCGGTTAGAGGCGATAAAGTTGATATTCTTTACAATAATATAAAAAATGCATTCTTCCAACCATGTGATGGAGAAATGATTATATTATTACATTTTCATTTGAAGCATGCTATTATGTTTGGTAAGATAATTCTTTGATTGTTTAATAAATACTCGTCTTGGTTTCAAATAGTAGGGATTTATATTTTCTTACAATTACATATGCAGTCTATGTACCTTTTTATGTATAGTTATTTTATTTAATATTAGAATTTTTAAAATCACTTTTTTGTTTATTCATAACAAACAAAAATTATATTTATTTTAACAAGCATACTTATACTCTTATACTGTTTAGAATTATGGATGATGACATTTTTGCTACTATATGTCTCCCACTTCTTTTCATCCTTAGGATGACTAAGTGATGAGTAGGGAAACAAAGAATCTTGTGTAATTATGATGTTTATATTTTAGGTAAAAAGAAACACTTGGACGTACAATTTTACACAGAAGTGGGTGAGATTACAACAGATTTAGGTAAACACCAGCACATGCATGACCGCGATGATCTCGCGGCAGAACAAAGCGAGAGAGAACTACGTCACAAATTAAAGGTCGCCTTCAAGAGTTTCTGTGAGCGAGTTGAGAACATGACTAAACAAGAAGTCGAGTTTGACACGCCCTTCAGGTTAGTATAGTTTGGGATGATGCATCTACGTAATGTCAGGCTACGACAAATGTGTATGAGAATGAAGAGTATTTTAATATGTGATTTAAACAGTTAGCGCAAGCGGTTATTACCTATCCATTATCATCCATTAAAAAAAATGTAAATTATTTTTATTTAAAATTTACAGAGAGCTAGGCTTTCCTGGTGCACCATTCCGGAGCACAGTACTACTGCAGCCCACCTCTGGCGCGCTCGTCAACCTAACCGAGTGGCCGCCCTTCGTCATAGCTCTTGAGGACGTGGAACTGGTACATTTTGAGAGAGTACAATTTCACCTCAAAAATTTCGATATGGTTTTTGTATTTAAAGACTACGCGAAAAAAGTGGCAATGGTGAACGCTGTACCTATGAATATGCTGGATCATGTCAAGGAATGGCTCAAGTAAGTAATTCTTTTGTTGAAAACTTACATATCTGTGATATAATTATGGAACTAGAACCCACATCACATATCTGAGTCGAGTCCCAAAGTTAATTAGCTGGCAATAAGGTAGTTTATTCCAATGAAATGTATGCAGCATTATTACAACAGCATATTAGTATTCTCCTATTGTATGCTTCGTTTAAACAAATTTTTGAGCAAGTTTGATAAAAGCAGTTATATCTTTACTTAAATAATATGTAAAAACAATATTAACATATATAATAGTTTTGTGATATAAATCTTTTGGTAATTAGCTATATTATATTAATTTAATATATAAATTGTGATGATAACTGTAATTTGCTCAATAATAATGGTGGCTAATGAACATATGAAAATTTTAATTTAATTATATTTTCTATAGGCGTCACGTCTGCTTCTTAATTTCCTAATAATGCATTTAAATTCCTACAGTTCATGCGACATCCGCTACTCTGAAGGTATACAATCTCTAAACTGGACGAAAGTCATGAAGACCATTACCGACGACATAGAGGGCTTCTTCGATAACGGTGGCTGGTCTTTCTTAGACCCGGAATCTGATGTCGAAAATGCTGAACAGGTCAGTTAAGTAATTGTGATATAAGCAATTTAATAATATCTAAAAACAACAGAACAGCTTAAATCTTCAGGGATGATTTGATAAACGTAACTCAAAATTGAAATTGTTTATTGTCAATGTAACTTGAATATATAAAGTTTGCTTGACTGCTACTGGTAATGTAGAACTTTATTAATATAGTGTGTAGACAATAGTACGAATATTATTTGTTAATTTTATTAAGGTAATGGTTCTCTACTTGTACGTTCTCAATATATGCAAACTATTTATTTCAGTTATATTCAAGTTTCGAATTTCTCCTAGACTGCTATTTCCATAAAGAAACGTCAGTATTGTTATGAGTCTTGTAATTACAATAATTTCATGATGTTATTGAATGTTTGTAGGAAGATGATTCTGAAGAGGAAGATGATGCCTACGAGCCTACGGACGCAGAGTCGGAAGAGGAGTCTGAAGATGATTCGGAGTACGACTCAGAGGCTTCCGACGAGTCTGCCGGCTCAGGAGATAGTGAAGGTAAATTAGGGATATTTGTATAGAACAAGCTTACTAATATTACAAAAACGGAAGTACATCATCATCATTCCAACCATCCATCCACACTCACATGGATGGATGGATGAATGTTTTTGACACAAACTACTTTTATTTGATTTAAAATGGATGTCGGTTGATAACAAAACATTAAACTCGATATATACTCGACATATATAAAATCTAATCGTAACCATAAAAGGAAGATTAGATATTTTGTTTATCTAAAGTTAAAATTCAAAAGATGTTAATAATTCTATTATTTGAATGTAATTTAAAATTGATGTTACAGAAGAGGATGAAGAATCTGGTAAAGATTGGTCAGATCTAGAGCGCGAAGCAGCTGAAGAAGACAAGAAAGAACGGAATTACGACCGCGAAGACTTCGATCGGAAACGCAAGGGTGGTCGCGATCCTCCCCGCTCATATGGCGAGGATGAGAGAAATAGAAAGAAGAGCAAACATGACAAACACAAAAGTTCCAGTCATAAGAGTTCGAGTCATAAAAGTCCATCCAAACATAGTAGTAGCAGGTAGGTTTTCCAAATAAAGCTTAATAAGAGAGTTTAAGATTTAACTTTTTTCTATATAAGTTTCTAACCAGGCGTTCCTTGCTACGCCACAAGGAGTGCTTATTAACAGTTAGCCAAACTTGTATTTTGAACGTAATTTCTTCTCGCTTTCATGAAGGTGGGATATGGACAAATTATAGTAAGAAAAAGTTACATATATTTAAAAAATATTTCAGTCCATCGAAGAATCGTGATAAGCACCACAAATCTCACCACTCAAGTGATCACAAATCATCACACAGCAAGTCCAACGGGGAGCACAAGAAGCATTCAAGCGATCAGAAATCTCATAAGCGATCTCGCGATGACAGTCGGGAACATGGGCGTAGTCCCAAAAAAGCCAAGTATGTTATCTATTTATCCTTTTTTTTACCACTTAATTTGATAATTCGTACTGTTCGATAGGTACTTTTGTTTAAAGTCAAGCAAGATGCTTTAGAAGGTGTAATCTCTTTTGAAAGAGACATAATAATAGAAAAGTAAATAAAATTTTACTGAGATAGCTTTTGTAAACAATCGTCTGTGTGGTTTCTACCTATTTCAACCGTAACTGTTGTTCATGTATATAGGCGACGCTTAGTGTATTATATCATCAGTGGTTACGTCAGTTTGTTTGCCATTCTTATTACATATAAAATATATAAAACTTATATTGGAGATATTCCATATCTTTAGTGTGGATAGTAGTACAAATATTTAAGGTTGGCAGCTACTTTCTTACTTGCCTCAAATATTTGAATATCACCACCATTTTGTTTTTTCACAGTGGATTTATTTATTTCGATTAGTTTGGTTAGTTACTCTTAAAAGCAAATTTTTAAGATCTCATATTTTTAGTAGCTGGAAGATTTATACTTCTTTGTACATTAAATAATATTTTTTATTATACTTGTTTCAGGAAATAAGCAGACGAAGTAATTTATTTGGAGTTGAAACGGGTTCCATTCTATGCATGCGGCTCGAGAGTCGGCTACAAAACGAGTTAATTCCTATCCAGTGTCCATTTGCATAATGTTCAAATCTGGTTGTCTGAAAGTTTATATGTTTGTACATTGATTTCCAGCGATAATTGTAATTTAATTAATGCAACAAAATAAATGTAAGATTTTATTATTTGCATATTTTATTTACTCTTGTTTTAACGTAAAGTCATAACATTCTATTATGTAAAATATTATTATTATATTTAGCATACGTGATTTGCATTCAGTCTCACGACAATTCACACCGCGCCATCTAGTCCCAAGCTGAGCAGAGCTTGTACAACTATTTAAATACATAGAAAACACCAGATCGATACAAACAATAACATGCATGAATGCAAATTTTGCATCTTGAGAGGAATCGAACCCGCCATCATCGGAAATTCAGCAGTATGCCAAACCGCCACACCACAGAAGTCATCAATAAATTGGTTTTAAGTAATGCAACAAAATAAATGTGAAAATGTTTAATTGCACATTTCATTTACTCCTGCATTAACGTCATAACATTGAACGATGCAAAATAAATTAATCAAAATGTGATCAAGTCACAATCACAGAATATTGTATACCAATATTATTGACTTAGTTTGAGATGTACATAGTGTAATTAGTTTACATTATGGAAAGTATATATAAATATACAGTAGTCAAATTAATTACACATTAAATACATCATCGTATAAAAATAAAACAATTAAATCTTGCCTAATTATTTTTAGTTGATTATTTGATATAATCAACTAAAAATAATTAGGCAAGATATAGGGTAGTCTGTAATTGTAAAAACGCAACAATGAATGAATGAATGAAATTTCATTTTGAAATATACACTACAAATAAATATTCTGTGATTGTGCCAATATTATTAGCATAATGCTATAAAGTCTACAATTACTTCTATTACATTAGCAATTGATATAATTCATTCTTCGAATTCTAAGGACTATCATATATCACGTTTTTTATGTATATTGAATTCATCATACTACAGAACACGTTAACAAGACACCAGACTGGTTGTGAGTAGTTGATCAAGATTCTTGTTACACATAAGGTCATCAATCATCATAATGAATACACCGAGAACATGAAGATTTTCTTAGTATAAGAAATGTAATTTGGACTAAAAGTATTAAAAAAAAAACTTTTTATGTAGTTTACTTATTATTACGTTTCTAATAATTTTTTCCCTTCGATTTCATGCCACTGATCTTCTTTATATTCTATTGCTAGGTCTCGGATTATTATATATCACTGCAATGTATATAATAATAGAATTAATAGTAGACTTTATTCGACTACGCTAAATTCTCTACTATCTTACATCACAAGCTTTCTAAAAATCACATAATTAAATTGTACATTATTTACATAAAAAATAAATAAATCTACGTGCAAGTAGATTATCTAGGACTGGTTTTCTGTCTCTTGCGCTGCTACTACGGGCCCTCTCGGTAACACTGATAACCTAGCCTCAGGTAGCTTGCTCAAGTCCTGCGACTTCTGTTCTTGGGTATCGGTCGAACTCCAATATTTCTTATTGACTAACATTAACAACATCAAAAGAGGTAGATGTAATAGAGAAAATCTGAATAATTTTCTTGAACTGCTACTATCCGAATTCTTGTAGAATTGCCATGCTGGAAAAAGCAATAATAAAATGTATTAACATGAAATAAGTAACAAAAAACTTTAGAACATTTTATATTTTTTTAATACATCATTGAAATATACTATTCTATATAGAGTAGGTATTACTTCTAGATTTAAACAGGATCATGATCATCAGTTATTACATCAAAGAATGGTATAAAAAGTAGTCAGTCTGTTCGCTTAGATTTTTCAACTCCGTAATGGATTTTAATGCAGTTTTTAGCAATAGATAAAGTGATTCTAGAGGAAGGTTTATTTTTTATATATGTACACCCGTGCAAAGACAGGGCTAGTTATTAAAAATTTTAAAATAACTTAAGTCACCACAATACATACCTAAGTACATAAAATAAATATTTAGCGGTAGTGATTCCAGTGCAAACCACATATTAGTTACATCGAGGTACGGTGATGCTAAGCAAGTTGCAGTTATTATTCCCGTATGCCTGAGTGCCACTCTTCTACACAGTGCTGAAAGACACAATTAATTAAAAATACATTTATGACTATTTAAAAGTGCATATATAAAATTCGTTTGAATAAAGAATAATTCTATTTAGGTCGGTATGACGTTATGTTATTTTCTATAGGTATTTAAATTGAAGGTATATAATTAAAGGAATGCATGATTATTTCACACCAAAATAAGACTTCTGAGCGTTATTTTGGAACGTTTCTAATACCAGCTGATACTTGTGATTTTATCTTCTTTTTTTGAGATAGATAGATAGTTGTTTTATTTATGTCAACAGTATAAATTACAAAAATTAATATTAATTATTAAAGTAAAACAAAATTAAAAGATGTATAGCCTAGTTATGCATTCTATCTTCACGTCAAATTTTGATAACATCAGTTCACCCGTTTAGTCAAGGTAAGAAATATACAAACAGGCAATTTCTCATTTATAATATTGAACAATATGGATATTGTAGCATAAAAAATTGTCAGTCTACAATAAAGGAAATCATGATATCATAGTATGCATAACTTTACTTTCTGTATTGTGCATCAAACTGAACTCATATATTTTTATATACATACCTGGATCAGTTACGGCCATCATTCTGTAGCCGGCGCGTGAATAATCAGGCCGTAGGTTCCAGGACAGCGCATTGAAATGAGGGAACTGCCAAGAGTATAAAATTGTACCCAGCACTAGGGCTCCCATGTCCAGACTGCCCGTGCAACCAACCCAACCCATTAATGGGGGTATCGCGCCCACTAAAACAGTCACATCAGAGAAATAGTAATACATTATTACAAAGAAAAAAAAAATGTTAATCTTTCATACACGAAAACTAAATATAACAAATAGAAGAACATAAACATAAGGTCACATTGTTAATGATGATGAAGCACATCATAACTAGTGTGAATATGGAGGAAGTCACAACTCTGATATTTTGTGGACTATGTTTTCTAAACTTTATAAGTATATTTAAGTTTTATAATTTATATAATTAAGTTTAAATAAAAAAATACAGGATTACTTCCAACTGAAAACTTGTAACTGAAAGCCCAGGACAGTATTCATGAAACTAGATCAGACATGATTTTCATCAAGAACCAGTCCACATAAAATGATAAATTGTTATCTTTTTTTTAAACCAATAACATAAACCATTTTTGCATCATGGATCCCAACTTGTTTATAATTAACTCTGTAGAAAGAGTAATGGAGGTAACTAACTTGAAATACATACCAACAGAGCCCACCCATGTGTTGAGAATTGACATCCTTTTCATAGGTGTGTATACTGATGTGTAAAGAATAAGATTGGCTGCACCAAGCCCTGCGGTCACTGGGTTCACTCCCAAATAAAGTATACTTAAACCAGTAATGCTTGTTACACCCGCAAAGCTTATTGCGTGGACGGGCCTAAAAAAACAAAGCTATGTAAACATCAATTGAATATAGTTTTTTAAATTAACTTGAATATTGAGTTTTTTCCATATCAATCAAAACCATAATGCTATAATTACTAATAGTTGTAAGTTTTGAAGTCTTTAAAACAATAAACACTGTTTTTCAGTGTCCAAATCATCTGCAATAGTAAGCATAGCAATGCCCATGGCACATATAACAATTAAATAATGCAATATTACTACCTGAGAATAATATTGTCTTGTGACTTTGTTGGACCACTTATCAGGTGACTGTTTTATTTATATCAATCTACATGGCTTAACTATATATAGATAAACCAGAATAATTTTATATACTGGTTATTTTATTTTTTATTGATGATAATGTTTTTAATTGTCTTCACTTATGGTTTACGCTGGGCACCAATGTAGGATGATAATATGGACAAGATGTCAGGTCAGTTTGCCCATCTTGCTAAATTCACCAGGAATTTATCATTATAGTTTTCAGGGAGAACTGCATGGAGTTGAAATTGACATGTTATATTGCTAGCAAAGTCAGTCCACATTACTAACAATCTCCTTTCTTCCCCTACTTCCCCACTAGCTCCATGCACAATCCAGCATTTGACTGTGTTTAATTTCAGATATGGGTATATATTGTATTTTTACTTTTAAACATATGTATTTACTGAATAGGTTTGTATCTTCTCTTACATCACAAAAAAATAATACTTACTCTAACAGCCCTTTGACTAGAACACGATTTTTCGTTCTAGACATTTGAGCATCAAATGGGACTTCATGGTACTGGTTTATTGAGTTGGCAGCGGCAGACACCAGGCCCGTACCAGCAGCGCACAATGCAAATGTAGTGAAGTTAAATGGGGCCGGTGCAAGGGCATAACCCGCCATCGACGTCATAACTACTAAAGCTGTGTACAGTATATAACATTCATTAGAAATATGTTTTATTAAAATATTTCAAACATGGAAAAAGGTGTCTGCATTAGTATGTTTGTCTCAATCTCAATTCATTCTATTTATTCCACCATTTACTTTACTTTTCACCGTTAAGCTTTGTTCCAATCTGAAGGGTGGCACAAGTCTGACAAATGGAGCATAAAACATTAGTCTTAACAAGTGCCAATGAACAAGATGTAATATAGGCATCTTAATATGTTAAATGACAACAAAGACATTATAAGCTATGGTTTTAAGTTATCACCATGTGTTTACCACCTTTTTTTATAATTGGCTTTGACATAAACAATTAATATTTTCAATTTGTAATATACAAGCACTTAATATATTCCAAATAAATTAATAAATAACCCAAATCACATATGCAAATGTAATTTCTTCTATTTTTTTTTACAAATAGTAATTTTTGTGTGAATGTACTTACATGTTAGTCGAAATTTAGACAGCATCATACAATATTGTCCAAATTTATTGTACTTGTCAAGAGAGGGAGTTTCTTTCCAAACCCTAGCATCTTTAATCACATTTTTTGTTTTCTTTGAGGGGGTTAATGTCTGTGATTGTGTAGTAAGAGGTAACTGACTCTTCCAATTATGTGATGTTGATATTCTAGCAATTTGCTGTGCTAGAGTGCCATTCTGAAAATACATAATACCATTTATGCCATAATTAAAATAAACACAGTTTTAAAAATAGTAGAATGGTAAAATAATCCCAATAAAAATGAAGTTTTTCACTTCATTCCTATCAGGATCATTATTCTTAAATATATATATATATATATATTATTAAGATTTATTATACTAAAAAATAAACTTACTCCAATTTTCAGCACCACTGATTTTGTGGAAAGGCCTAATTTTCCATGTCGTAAACATAAGGTGCAATGAAGCACCTTTATGTAGGACATATTTATTAAATATGAATGTTTTAGGTTAACATTTTGAGATAACACTGAAAAAGTAATGAATTCATAACATAAACAAAGCAAGATTCATACATTAAAAAACATTCTAATTCCGTATATCTCTATTTATAAGTATGTGCTTGTATCTTTTTAGGAATTCTTAAATATAATATCAATTAGTATACAAACACTCTTAATAGTTAACAGTTTCAATTAGGTAACAAATTAATATCACCCATATTAAACAGGTTAATAAACAATATTGGGACATTGTAATGTTATATGTTTGTATAGTGCTTTAGAATTTTTCTTACAAAGTTCAATAACAATAACGCGGCTGTTACATAATAAGCATTTTTTTTTATTTTACTCATTTTATGACAATTTGTTACATGGCACATCGAAAACCGTAGGATATAGGCATATTACAACACATGATAATTTCAAATAAGAATTGCATTTACATACATATAGTATTCCATTATAAATAATATTAAATATTTCGCGATATCAGGATTTATTTATTTAGAAGATAGAATAATACAGTGAGGTTAAGTAAGGTTAAGATTTTCTATAAAATTGACTGTGATGGAGTATGACATTTTGATGACATTATTTGTCCTGACATTGACTTTTCTTTTTAACGTTATGGATTTTTTCTTTACATTTTAATAGCCATTTAGTAAATAAATAGACAGAACAGACGCAGTTTCTTATCTCTAAATTACAAATTTCAGTTATTCCTTGTTGCTGTATTTCACAGGTTCTCAATTTAAATGAAATATAAGAAATAGGTCAATATGTCTAATATTTAATTTTTTATAGTGGTAATTTCCGGAATTATTCATGGTAACATTTTTTTTGTTTTTATTAATCGATTATATCGAACGCGGAAGTGGTCTAGTATTTTGATTTGACTATTCTTCAGTATCGAGTTGCGAAACATGGTTCATTTCTTTTCTAGGATTTATAAAAATGACTAAATTATGGTGAATGATACGTCGTAACCGTGATAAGTGAAATACGTCCTAATATGGCCTCAAGAGGTGATAAAGGGAACGGTAATGGCGAGGAACAAATAGTAGAGGTAAATCGATGTAGCCTATTTTTTTTTTGACCTGTAGAAATTCTATTGTGCTATCATTGATTAAATGATGTATTGATTTTAGACCCTGGCAGAGGTGTTTCGTTGTTTCATTTGTATGGAGAAGCTGGTTGATGCACATTTATGTCCTCACTGCTCAAAACTGTGCTGTTATGCGTGTGTGAGACGATGGCTAACGGAACAGAGGTCACAGTGTCCCCATTGTCGAGCTGCCCTGCACTTACATGAGCTCGTCAACTGCCGTTGGGTGGAGGAAGTTACTCAGCAGATTGAGACTATGCAACAGCAGCATGTTCAGTTATGTCTCCAGTAAGTAAATACTTTTGTTTTTATTGTATTAGTTGTTTGTTTTATTTCTATAATATATATTTGAATAACAAATGCTTGAAAATAAACCAATTATTAAATTAAATTGTAAATTAATGATATGGTTTCACAACCCAATTTAGAACTACACAATAAAATATAATTGGGAATCTTAAAAATTGAGTCTATATAATTTATACTCATATTCTTTATATTATATAATAGCATTTATTATAGACTGATTCTCCTGACTTGGTGTAATGGTGAATAAAAACAAATAAGGTTCTAATGAGAATTTAAATTTAAAATGGACTCCATTCTTTCATTGTATATACTTAAATAAGTAGTGTATTATTTAATTTTTTGTAGATGGAATGGATGGATGGACTCAAGTAGTTAAAAACTGATTATGGAGATTTTGGTTGAATCTCCATAATCAGTTTTTATCTACTTGAGTTTTAACAGTTTATTGTCTTTCTACATTTTACCGTCGAGGGATGTATATTCCTAAAATGTTTTGATATACCACTTTTTGTGGACTATGTATATATGAATATGTATGAGAATGCTTGAATTTCCTGCAATTTCGTAATTTCATACTGCAGTGAAATTACACAGTATAGAAACTTGACATGTTAGTGCTCGGGAATGGCAACATATTGTGTCAGAATGGTGCCACTGACATTATAACATGATGTCCTTGGTGCTGTTCATGAATATATATGACTATAAGCCAGTTTGCTGTACCATTGACATAAAAAAATAATTCTAAATTTCAGACTGCAGTGAAATTACAGAGTGTAGAGACTTGATATCTTAGTGCTCGGGAATGGAAACATATGGTATCTGAATGGTGCCACCAACTTTATGACATGATGTCCTTGGTGCTTTTAATGGATATATATGACTATAAGCTAGTTTGCTTTTCCATTTACATAAAATAATAAATTCTAAATTTCAGACTGCACTGAAATTGCAGAGTGTAGAGACTTGACATCTTGGTACTCAGGAATGAAAACACATGGTGTTGTAATGGTGTCACAGGCAGTTATACCATGATGTCCTTGTTGCTGTTCGTGTATTTATATTACTATCAACTAGTTTGCTGTTCTAATCATATAATTTTTTTTATTTCTGCTACAGATGTCCTACACACCAAGAGAGGCTGACTGTCTACTGTTGGACGTGTCGTCGCTGCATATGCCATCGCTGCGCTCTGTGGGGTGGTACACACTCTGGTCACACATTCAAGCCACTTGAGGAGGTGTATGAGCAACATGTGACGCAGATACGGGATGAAGTTGCTCAACTCAGAAGACGATTAATGGAACTAATCAGCTTGGTGCAGGATGTGGTGAGTACTTTGTAATTTTTCATTGACTCATTCATGCTAATAAATTAAACAAGCCTAAATTTGAACTGGAGCTCCTCACTACAGATTCCAAAGCTATCAATAGCCAGTTTCATAATAAACTGTCAATATACAGTATGAGTTTGACTCAGTGACTTTTGATGATTTGATTGCATTCACATGAAGCATTCATCAAAAGAAATCATAAAGCTATCTGAGAAATTACAATTAAACATTAAAAAAATCCTGACAATTAAGTTGGTAATTATGAGTTTATACTCTTAAACATCTAAACAGATTCTTCATAAGTTAGACATAACCATTTTCATCAAGGTTTTCTTTCAAACAAAAAAGATAATGTTCTTTGTTTTCGGTAGTTATAATATTGAGTAATCTAACTGTACTCAAGCAGTAATTCATGTTTCCTTTTTGAAATTCCTTTCAAGTGCTTACTGTGCTTACTTATATTAAAGTACTCTGCAAAATTAAATATTTCTAGACTTGCCTAGTCTTTATGATACTAGACATTGCAGATGTTGCTACACATTTCATTTTAACTATTAAACTTAATCAGTCAGCCCTACGTTCCTATTTTCACAGTTTCATTAATTAAATTCACAGGAACGTAATGTGGAATCGGTACGATCTGCGAAAGACGAACGAGTCCGCGAGATAAGAAATGCTGTGGAACTTATGATATCTCGCTTGGACTCTGCACTGAAAGCCAAACTTCTCACTCTGATGGGGCAGAAGAATAGCCTGACTCAAGAGACTGAACAACTAGAGCATTTATTGCAGGAGATTGAACGACAAATACACACCAGTACAAGGTGATTATATTTCTGGAATAGATGCTGAATGCTTCGCTTGCTTTGAATTAGAACTTAGTATTTTTTTATTATTACTATGAGTTTTATATCTCTTTCTTGGGATATGATGGATTCTTATCAATTTCATACCCTTCTCGATTTTAAAAATAAAAGGTAGCCAATGGACTCCTGATAATCTATGTTTACGTCCAATTTAATTACGATCAATTCAGTCATTATATTTTTCCTCCTTTTGTTTTTGTTATAGGTAGACTAATGAATGATGAAAACAGGTGATTTGTATTGAGGGTATATTTCTCAAAATTAATTTCAAAATTCACAGATCTGAACTGATAGCAAGGAGTGGTGAATTATTGAAGACGATTCATCAAGTCCGCAAAAAGCCGATGGCCAGCTTTGTGACTGCACCAGTACCGGCCGATTTTCATAGGTGATATATATATACCCTATTACTAATAATGGTTATTCTATTATATTTATGCTTGGTGGCAGGGAAAAATCTCCATAACAAGTCAGGTGAATAAGTAGTGATGTAAAGCTAGTCATGATGACTGATGAGTTATTAACATAATCACTACTCCTATTCATCATCATAAAAGAAGACTAGTAGCAAAATAGTACACCAGCGCCATTGTAAGAGAATTAAATTTATAATAATATTACGACATGCTGGCATGTTACCATAGTTATAGTATCCTAAAATAAAGAAATAGATAAAGCCAAGATGAAAGGTTGTATGGTAGTGGAATAAAACAAATACTAAGTGTTTACTTGTTTTTTACCAAGTCTGTATGCAGGTTCAAGTAGAATACAGTGTTGCAATTACTGTTAGCCAAGAGCTAACTGTTGTTCCTATTTGAAGTGGCCTTCACATGTAATTTCTAATACAAGTAGTAATACTATAAGGGCAATGTTTACGCATTTTTACTTAATGAGGGTTTGGTTTACGTTTATTGTTTTACTACTACCTAAAATATACTTGTACATTTATATCTGTGCAGTTTCTTGTTAGGTATGGTAGGATACAGTAACCTCGAAGTGAGACAAAATATATCACTTCTAATGTTCATATTCAAAATTATTAGGAGAATAAGATATAATTCAACAATCATGGGCCTGACCAGCTTTCATGTCTCAGAACTTAGCGTGAAAGTAAACATTAATTATTATTTGCCCTACCCCGGTACAGAACTTTACAAGCTGATCATGCACCTCTCCTAAGAGTGCTCCATATCTATATGTTTTCCACTTGATTTATTTAATTGTACTGCCAAAGAGGTAACAAATTATGTGCAGTTACAGTTTCGTATGTAGATTGTTATTATCATTGTTGTATGATTGTGTTTTGGCATATATTTATTTCTTGGTGAGTGTATTGGTATATACATAATGCACACCAAGATGTAATTTTATAATTAAAAAAAATATGTGACAGTGAAATTGTGCCGAGCTACGACAGCAGCACGTTCCCGCTGACGAACTTCACACAGTTGCGTCACGGCGCGTCGCCCGTGTACTCGGCGCCGTTGCACGTGAACGGACTCTGCTGGCGGCTCAAGGTGTACCCCGACGGGAACGGGGTCGTGCGCGGCAACTATCTCTCTGTGTTTCTGGAGCTCAGCGCGGGCCTGCCTGAGACCTCCAAGTGAGTTGTTTTCATGCTTCATATAAACCTTGTTATACTTAGTTGAGTTTTCAACTATGTATAATAGTTGGAAACTAAACTAATTATAGCAAGGTTTACTTTTATATAAATTAAATGTGTTCAATTATTCAAATATATATTGTATAAAATGTTTTCATATCTTATGTATGAGCAAGCTGTAGAGCACATTGAATCGGTAATTTGTTTATCTATTAATGTCCACAGAAAACATTACTGAATATGTACTTTTCACTCTTAATGATGTTTTACGCAAAAAATATTAATAATATTTATTATCAATGCGATCTACGTGGTATTATTTTAAATATTTAATAAAATATGCATTGAAAATAATAATGGTTAAAACTAATATTAAAATTTTAATATTATTGCGTCCAAATAAAAAATAGTCCAGATATTGTGTTATGGTCGTGCGAGAGCGTTTATTGTCTGTAAAACGGCTAAATATTTACTATGAAATAAGTTCCTAACAAGTAAAGTACTTTAAAAACGTATGGATCTGTCATCTGTCTACACTATATACTGCCTCCGTGAGCAATGGGCGCGCTCTATAGCTCGTTTGTACACACTCGAAACATTAATTTTTACAAAACAAGTAATCATTTTATTTTCTGTATACACCAATAGGTGTCAAATGTAATTTATTCAATAAAAATCCTTATTAAGAGTCGAGCGTGAACTACATACTTTCGATGGAACCTCACTACAATTAAATGTGTAAAAAATAAACATGTAAATGTAACATAAAATATAACTGGTTCGGTTATGTATGAAATGTTTTTTACAAGTTTAGTGTAGTGTCGTGAAGTTAGTGTAGAATTTTGGCACTATTATAGCAATCCCACAGTGTTTTTATATTTTTTAAATTATATATTGATAGTACACATATAGCTAACTTGGTTATTTCGTTATTGCAAGCACTGCTAAATTAAGATTAGGCAAAAGGTAAGTTACAGATGGGTAGATACAATTGTCGTTAATTGTAATATTAGCATGCCATTATATTTGTAATATTATATGCATAATTAAGTAAAGCTTCTATTCATTAACTCTCTGTTAAAAAAGTTTCTATTTTTTTCTGTTGTATTTTAAATGAACAAGATTATATGGCCAACCAACCAGCTATCTCTCTCTATGCATTTGTCACTGGCTTTAGTTGTATTTTGTAAGTCTCTTCATCACTTATACAACATACTAATAGATATTTAATATAATTATAAGATACAAATGGACTAAAATTTAATGACATATTATGCCTTAGTCGCGAGAAAATAACGAGCTATTCTCCGCAATTAGCCGCTCTAAAAAAATCATAGAATGAGTAAGTAAGTGTTTTAAGTGGTATACAATTTTGGTTCTCAACGCATTATAGGTAGTCCATCCGTTTTCTGTCAGTTCATGTCACAATCGTAATAATATTTTGGCTTCATACAAATGCACTTTATTTCTTTTTTCTCGTACTTAATTGCTTATTGTCTTCTGTATAGTTTGTGGTAAACAGAAAATAATACAACATAAACCAATAGACAATGAATATTTGACTTTTATCCATTATTATTTTGTGAGTAATATGAAAAAAAATATCAGTGTCCAACTGATTAATAATGCGATGCTAATGGTTTCTTGTGATGATGACGAAAAGTTTACAATACCTATATTCTTTATTGCACTCTTAGATACATTAATAATACAAATTAAAGTTTTTTTTTATTTATTAAAGAAATATCTTTCTGTAAACGCAATAGAGCATGGCATAGGAAGTAGTGAGCTCCTAGTAGATTGCTCTTCCACTAATAGTCAGGTTTATTTTTACGAATTAATGAATTTATTTATAAAAAACATATCTTCCTGTAAACCCAATACAGTGTGGCATAGGAAGCAGTGAGTTCCTAGTAGATTGCTGTTCCACTTATAGCTAGGTTTATTTTTAATAGCAACATAGCTTCATCATTAGTTATCATTTAGAAAATAAATAGGTAGAATCAAATTATTTTATGTTTCTTAGATATCAAATGTTTTACTAATTGTACTTGCATTGCATAGTTATTTACCTAAAGTTTTTTTAAAATGGTTGTGGGGAATGTCCCATGTGTGTTTATTTATTTTTAAATCCATGAATAATGCAGTGTTCACAATGTAAAATAGTGTAGCCTTAATTCTAAATCGCAATGACATGCTTAGAGTTAGTCAATTGTTGCGCTAGAATGTTTTTATTACAATATATAACAAATATAGTATATAAACACACATCAACATCCTGACATATAATTTGAATTAATTTGTATGTTGTACATTCGAAATGTTTGTTACTTTGTATTCAATTAAATTATTATCTAAAAAGTAGTACATATGTTGGTTATAAAATTGTTAAGTCATTAGTTAAGACTGTGCATGTAATTTATAATCTGTTATAAATTATATTACTTTGCCTCTTTACCATCATCAAGGATTTGGAGGTGTTTACTTTTAGTAAAGACCGTTAAATCTACAAAATCTAGTTCATAATAGGTACGAATATCGCGTGGAGATGCTACACCAGGGTTCCCATGACCCCACCAAGAACATCGTGCGTGAGTTCGCGTCCGACTTCGAAGTGGGCGAGTGCTGGGGTTACAATCGGTTCTTTAGGCTCGACCTTCTCGCTAGCGAGGGGTACCACTGCACCGATACTGATACCCTCATACTGAGGTACGTGGTTTACTCTTTATTTATTATTATATTTATTTACATTTCAAACATAATTAATATGTAAATTATTGTACATTTCTGTAATTTGATTGGCAAACAAGCTGATAGTTGACTTGATGGTGAGTGGTAAATGTTGTGCATATGCATATAAACATAATCACGTTATCATGTGTTACTGTTCTGGAGGAACTGTAACACATGATAACATGATTACAGTTCTACAGTTCTGTTCTATAATTGCACTGCCTTATTTCATTACTTCAATTGCTACACATTTTACAAGCAAGCTGCTTGAAGGATAAAATAGGTGAGACTGCGGTTCACACGACGTAGTACAAACTCTATCTCAGTACTTGGGCATGTGATGGAAATTCATATGGGTATAGATTAATAAATCCGTTGTACTGGCTACATATGGGGGCCACAATAGTCGTCACATATTAGATGCTGTTTTATATGTTTAAACGTCAGTCAGTCTTCTTAGCTCGATAGCACTCCAAATGACGGCACGACGGCGACGACATGACTAAATATTTTTTGATTTTGATTAAATTTTTACCACATTTCACAAGATGGGAAATGACATAACAAACTTTTGTCTGTCAGATTGCTCTGCTTTTATATAAAAGTTAATACTAAACACATGTCTACAACATGTTTCCAAAAAGTATGTTTTTTGTTGTTTTATGTAAATATGGCGTCATGAGTTTTAGTACATGTATTTATATTATATTAAGGTTCCAAGTACGACCGCCCACGTTTTACCAGCGTTGCCGTGACCAGCAGTGGTACATAAACCAACTCATAGCCATGCAGAACCAGCACATCCTGCAAATAAATGATCTCAAAGAAGTGAGTAAACTCAGTTCTTATCGTTATATTTAATTATGAAAGATGTATAGTTTCCTATTCTTGGGTAGTTTAATATTTGCACAAATCTAGGGATTGCTAGTATTAATATATAATATGGGCAAACATAATAAAATATATATTCATATTCTTCATATATTCTTCTTCTTAATTGAGCGGTTTCTATGCAGCGGACTCATGAACCGATGTTTTTCAGATCACAGTATTTCTGTTAAATGAGTACTTGTATAAATAAACGTTGTTAAGTAATAATTCATATACACTTCAGCTTGGAATTGGGGCGAAAAAGTGGTTTTTAAAGAGTAGTGACAGTATAAAGATAAAGATAAGGATATAGCGTATAAATGAATTTCTACTCTCAATACTGAAGTATCGCCATGAGAATTCTTAATTTATGGCTATGATAGATCGTAACAAGGAAATGCAATTGAATTTAGAACTTTTTCCTTTGACAGTCGGTCGAAAATAGAAATTGATGATATTACGAATGAAAAACTATGTGTGATGGTGACAGCGCCTCACGCTGGAGATGTCCCGCAACTCGCTGCCGGCGCGGCGCGGGGCCTCCGGCGGCGCGGGGGCCGCGGGGGCGGCGGGGGGCGCGGGGGCCGCGGGGGGAGAAGCCGCGCCGCAGGACAACCCGGTGGACGGCGCCCTCAGCGACCCCAACGTGTTCGGCGCACAGTGGAAGTTCGCCACGCCACACAACATCATCAGCGGCCAGAGGCTGAACAGTCCAGGTATCACCATACTCTGCTAACACTTATTTGATTTTACTATTGAAATTCAGTATATAACATAAATAAAATAATTCCCAGTTAGCACGCAATAAAAAAAGTTCAAACTAAAATCAAAAATTTTTACTTTTACACTATCTTGGAAAAAGAGTCTGTGCATTGTATGCTCTTTGTTGTCTGTTCACGTGTACATTAATAATAATTATATCTATAAATTTTTATTAAATTGGAGATCAGTATATTCAACTTAGGCAGGCATATTCTCATCATTATGATTTCGATGTTGTCCGTAAGCGAATGGAGGTCATCCTACACGATACTTACATTGCTATTGCTATTACTAACGATCCACACGCTCATGGACAGCAGGTGTTTTAAATACGGCAATGCTGTGCGAAGAGAGCCGCAACAACGAGGTGCCCAGTGTGTCGGGATGCAGTAGCGCGGGCGCGGGGATAGCGGCCGCGGGGGCTGCGGGGGTGGCTGGAGCTGCGGGGGTCCCGGGGGCCCCGACCGCGGTCACGTGTCCGTACGGTGAAGCGCTCGACCGCCGTCTGTCGCAGTACGCGACGCCCGCGCACTCCGCGCACGTGCACGCACACGCCTCGCATCAGCACGCGCTCGATGCTGCCTATGGGCTTCCCTCCACCTCCAGGTATGACACTACTAACGAACAGTTAGACGTACGAAATTATGTTGAATTTCACAAACTGGAACTGCAATAAATAGTACCAGCATGCCAATTTATTTTTTCCTACTTTTTCATTAATGAACTATTTGATTAATATTTCTGTTATGAATTTGTAATGCATTTGAATTAAAAAAAAAATCAGATATAAAATGAAATTAAATAATATGACATATGGGATATATTTATAAAATAGAAAAACGCTATTTTTTAATGGCAAAATTATAAAAAAATTACGTGCATAAGAAGTCGAAAGTTTCTGCACGAATAAATATTATTTGATTAGATTTGATTTGTGTAATGTATATGTACATGGTTAAAGGAAGTGATGTACAGGGGCCCACATGCGCGAATCGCGCTAGCGCCTGCTGGCTCTTGCGGTATGTTATTGGCAAGAAGCGAGCAGGGGCCGTATTATGAACTCTTATTCCCATTCAGTTTACGGCTTTAACTGAAATTTCGTAATAGCCAGCCAGTAGCGGTCACGTGACAGCTGAACGTCTTCTGCCCGAAAACTGACCGGCTATTTCGTATTATGAGCGTTTCATTTGACAGATCTAAGCGGACACAACTGTCAAAAAGACCGTTTAAAAACAATTCAGTTTACGGTGGCTTCATATTAGCTTTTATAGAATTGTTTTCTAATTTATAGCTTCATTATTGTAATTTGGTTATTATTTCTATTTCTATGTCAGTTTTTATTATGTTTAAAACATGTTTGTGCAGTTATTTCGATTGTTTTTGTTTCGTTTTAATTTTAATTATGTGTGATGAACTCGAAGTATTGGAGTTTTTGGAAATGTGTGCACCCTACGAAAAAGAAGTAAGGAAAGTGAAAAGACGGCGATTACGCGACCAATCCAATAAAAATGAACAATTTAGAAAACGTTATAATCTAAATAAAGATTTGGTGCGTAATATGCGTGCGAACTCATATGCCGGTATCATCGAAATTTACAGACCTACCAGTGGAAACTAAGGTATAATGTATTGTAATTATTTCACTAAATCACTAGCTGACTATGTCAGGTTTTAGTAGGATTATTATTTATGCTACAGGCATATTTATCAACGGCCTATTAGTGATATTGCTGTTCATTCTTTAGCACAGCCAATGGCAAATAACCGATTTATTGCATTTACCCAACATCCAAAAGTAAATACATATATAAAATTCCAAGGACATCTGAGTAAAGGATAGATAATAAATATTCAAAGGTATCTATTTCTATACAATTAGCAACTGTTATTGTTGCAAATACATCTATGAGTACCATGTACCATACCATATGATATAGTGATAATATATATGTAAAATGTATGCATACAAGTAAAGCCTAGAAAGCAAGTATACAAGTATGCAACAGTCTGATGATGTGCAGTCTCTCCGGCACTTTCCTCCGAGGACAATTAATTAAATTAAATTAATTATATTTTAGGTTTTATAATTGGAATTTGGAATGCTGGGTGTATTGGGCTGTATTTGACTGTACACATGCCACCCCATTGTAAATTAAGAAGAGATATTACTGTAGAAAACAATACCATTCATTAAATATATAATTGGTAAGTGAAATATAAATTAAAAGACATGTTTAATAATATAAGCACTTTTAATATCTTTTTTTAATATAATTATATAAATTAACAATAAACAAGATTTTAGACATGCAAAATATGTTAATGATTATACATCTCTAAAGCTACTTATATACTAACAATAAATTGTTTACTTAAATATTAAATGACCATAACACTTAGACATATGTTTCAAATAATCTGTATCCATGTAATTAATCTCATATGTTTCAAATAATATTTATCCATTAATTATTCTCTTATGTTTCAAATAATTTTCATCTATGTAATTAATCTGGAAAAAAAATTTAGGTTAGTAATGCTGACATGGAGATTATAAGTGTGGATGCCAACTGGAACTGGAGCTACTCATGACATTTGGGCAAACCAGAGGCATTAAGCAACATCTAGAGGACTTAAGCTGGAATAAATCCTTATGATTACTTGGTAAGCACAAAATTTTATTATGAAACTACAAACATCATTACATCTAAGCTCTAAACTTCAGTAATTTAGAAACATAGTTATTTATCAGCACCAACAGTTATTGTGCTGTGTTTTTAATGAAATAATACTTTTGTAAATAAATATTAATATTATAGTATATAATATGTTGTTTTTTTTTTAGGAGATCCAGGATATGCTTTAGAGAAGTATACTCCCATCTCAAATGCTATACCAGGACCACAAGAAGCATATTACACTGTAAGAACATGGAATATCATTGAGAGCACAATTGGGCTTCTAGATTTAGATGCCTACATGTACTTTGAATTCTTATAGAGAACTAAATGAAGGTCTAGCTGCTAGACAAACCCATGTTGTTTAGTTGTGGAACTAAGAAATTGAAACATTTATAAATAATAATATTGTTAATAGGTCAATGTTTTAATTATTTGTTTTTATAATAAATGATATAGGTACATTATTTATGTCTTTTATTGGTAGTTATAATTAAAGGGATATGATAATTTTATTATATACTAGTTATTACCTATGACTTTGTCCATATGGCATACCTAGTTTTTGTTAAAATAAATAAAATATCTCAAATAAAAGCAACTTGTTACTCCTTTACACAACTCATTACATATGACAGTGAAAGTATCCCTCAAATTTGGTCCAGCTGTTTCAAAGATTAGCAAGAACAAACAAACGGACAGACAAATATATATTTTTTTTTATGTCATTTATCTTACCTTATATATGTATGCATTTACTGAAAAGCTGTTGTAACTGGTGAACTTCAAAATTACAAACAGATACTTCAATTTATTTGCATGGATACATGTATTTCAGATTTTACTGAGATTCCTATTAAATGAAATAAATTAAAATTCAGATGGTTACCTTATAACACTTAAACTTGACAATCCTTTCCAGTCTTTAAAACCCCCCTTTTCCTAAGGAGTTTAATTGTTGAGCGACGTCCTCACACAAGCGATTGGTATGGTATTCTTGGGCGGACTTATTAAAGCCACTTGCCATTTCCCTATGGGATTTTAAAAATCCCATATAATTTTAAATTACCGGTACGATACACGACGTTGGCCAGGGGTTTCAGTCCGTGATCTACAATTTAGTTAGATAAATATACAAATATAAACAGTTAAATATTTGCATCATTTTAAAAAAACATTACTAAGAAAATGTTAGGAATACTTACGTTACATTAGGTATATTTTTCACAATAATTGAATTATTAAATTTAACTTGCGTATAAAGTCATGGAAAGGCTAAGTTTCAAATTGTACATTAAAATCAGAATTAAGTACTTTGCGCGGAATTTTAAGTAGATGCACAAAGTTCGTTTGGATATTACAATGAAAATATTTTTTACAAATAAATCCGGATTATTAAAAAAGACAATAAAACTGTCTGGAATATTTTTGTATATTACACAAATTCTACCATTGTATCTTAATTACTGTTTTCTATATTTAATTTACATTTATTTAATTAATATTTTGTCCAAAAAGTGACACACAAAAACTCAACTTAACGTTGCAACGAATGTATGCGTATCCGAACGCAGCGCGAGAAAATCCACTAACCAGCCAGAGACAAACTATCCAGGCAGAATACGGTTTGAATTTGGACCCTCATAATACGAAAAAGAACAATTCAGTTTAAGGCCGTAAACTGAACTGCCTGGAAACTGACTGGATTTTAAAGAGTTCATAATACGCCCCCAGAGGTTGGAAGGATGCTTGTGTGTGAATTAACTGCAAAACGTTTGAACTAGTATAGTCAGAGGTGTGTGATGATTACCCAACCTTACACATGTATACGAGTTAACTTCTGCAAACATCTTTCAGTTAATTAGATAGTTTCTCCTAAACTATATTAGTCAATGCGAATATTATAATTCGTAGATCGGCGAATTCCCTGCACGTGGCGGGCACGGACAACATGGCGTTAGTGAGTTTGCACACGTTGCTGAGCGCGGCGAACGCGCCGAGCCGCGTGCCGAGCAAGCTCGCCGGACGGCAGGCGCGCGCAGACCGCCGCCACCACCTGCCGGCCAAGGACTCCAACACGCTCACCTGTATGTTACATCTACTCCTATGTAGTGTTATTCATAAACTAATATAGATCTTATGAAGTTTGCTAGCCGCCATTTTGTCTGCAGTTTTGTATGACAGTTGTCGATGTGATACAATTTATCTTCAATTAAAATTTTATTACGATCCGTTTATTTACTAACCATTCTTTCACGCGTGATCAGAAATGCGAGCGATTTAGAGCGGGAATGCCAACGCCCACAATTATTGTTTTTTTGTTCACTATTTCGGGCGACTTCCAGCGTATGATTAATTTCACTTATAAAAATATTTTTTATTTTACAGATTTTATTTTTCAGAGGACTCGTTTAGGATTTGTAAATTTTCAATAACTCTATTATTTTAGTCAGATATCCGCCGTTTTGCAATGATAATGAATTATTATAAAAAGTCCTTTTCACTCTCTTTATCTACATTTACATGTGTTAATTCTCTCCTGCGAAATAGCGCGTACGAGTAAAGGTGTAAAAAGACGCTATAGCATGTACGATAGAAGTACGCAAAATATACGCTCACTAGCACCACGCGCGGTCTCGCTCATTCTGTTTGTTTATATTTACATGCATATTATTTCCTGCAATGCGTTCACTGGCGGCGCGCGCGGTCACGCTCGTTTTCTTTATCTACATTTACATGCCCATTCTTTCCTGCGTGAAAGAGCGTACGTGTAAATTAAGCAATGGTATGTCAGGCGTGGCGAGCAGCCCGGCGGCGGAGGCAGGCGCGGCGGCGGGCGGGGCTCCGCTGGCGGCGTCCGCGTCGTCGCCCGAGCTCGGCGCCGCGCACACGCCCGCTAACAACGACGCCGCGCACGCCTCCGAGTCCAGCAGCGACACCGGGGTCGGACACTGACACATTACTACATACATATACGATGATACCGGAGTTAGGATGATACCACAAACGCACACAGATAAATAGAAATATATAATAAAATTAAACTATTGGCCGTTCTAGTATATTACGATATAAGTGCGTTGTCATGGTTATTGTGTTATAAGCCGAAAGCGAGGGCGTAATAGAGCCGAGTGTGTTAAATACCCACGTATATCGTACGACGTTTTTCAACACACTTGCGAGGAAACAATAAAAATTCATGATATATTTTATATATATAGCAACTGTGAGACGTGAATGTTATGTATTCGATTACACGGTTCATAATAACTTTTATAATTCTTTAGTCTACTCTACTACCCTAATATGTAAAATTCTTATATATTAGGAAACATTCGTAAAATAAAATATTATTTCTAGATAGGTATGTGGTGAAAACAGTAAAATATATATAGTAATGTATTTGCAATGTGCACTTTATACATATATTTGTGACGATGTATTAATACATCGTCACAATAAATATTACACAAATTAATGTTAGTACAGTTATAACTTTATTAAGTTTTAAACTGTAAATAATCAATTATTAAAATATAAATATGTACTATTCGTACTAGTATCTAATTAACTATATTATTAATGTTAAAATTCACATAACTCAATTTATGAATTTGATTGTGGACACTAAAACCGGCTATTTCCACAGGAGTTAATGTTCAGCGAACTAGAGGTGTTCGCAGACGACAGCACCCACAACAATGTGGACGAGAACTCAAATGAGGAGAACGATGTGGACGATGAAGCGATGTCCGGTTAGTTAGAATTGTCATTATACTATATTATATATTTGTCTTCCTACATTATCCTAAATCATTATGAAACATAAATGTCCTCTAATCCAATTCATTCATTATTTCATATAACATATTATCATATATATACATATATATATATATATATATAAGTGTCTATTAAATGTACTTTTGAGATTTATTACCTACAAGACATGTCGTATATAATTGTCAACCAAATTTTTAAATTACTAACACAACTTAATGTTAAGTTTACTACAAATCTTACAACAAAAGGTCGCATCACAAGCAACATGCTTATCTGTTCATATATCTATTAAATAGTACACACTGATGTATACTCACTTATTTATTAGAGTGTGCCTAAAAGCTAAATAAAATTTAATGTAAAATTGTACATCTTTAAAATCATGTATATGAATAATTCAAACTACCAACACCATATTAAAAAATACAGCTAAGTAACGAAATAAAGCAATCATATTAACAAAGGCATACTCATCCTTACAAGCAGGACGCTTACACAAACGTTACAAATTATCTTTGCGTACCTTATCATGTTGTTAGCCCCAATAATCCGACCCACCCTGCCTATTCATATCCTATTCCTTTCCTTGGACCCACGGTCGTTCCGTTGCGCGACAGAGGCGTCCTCCGCGAGCGGGTCGTGTGAGTGGTGCGGGCTGGGCGAGTCGGGCGCGTCGCTGTGCTCGGACGAGTCGCGCTACGGGTCGTACGCCCCGCGCCCCTCGCGTGCCGCCCCCCGCCGCCCGCGAGCGCCACGTCCGCCGCCCTACGCGGCCGCGCGGAGACTGCACGCAGCTGCCGCCGCCGCAAGAGACATTTGCGGCGATATATGAATACACTCATCACATCACATGCTTCCAAATTTGAATTATTTTGTTTTTTTCTTAAGGCTCATTTGAAATATTTATTCGATTAGATAGTACATTCGCGTGTGTTTTGAAATTGGAATAGTTATGAAGTTTTTGCCGCGCTGATTTGAGGATAGTTCTTTACTATATTTTTTATTTTGTTTCTAATTGTTAACAAGCTCGTTGAGTTGAACTATATACAGATTTTTATTACTATGATACAATTTAAAGAATCGATATCAGTTTTTGTTATTATAGGAATAAAAACGGTAAAATTGGCATATCGGTCGACTTCAGTTTACATCAATATGTGATTATTTAATGTTAAAGAAGGTTATTTATTAAAAAAAAATGTATGACAGCGTTAAATAATATGTGTCATACAAAACTATTACAAAAAAATTATGTCACTAATAATACCTACATATAGTACAAAAATGTTATTTTTATTTTAAATTAAAAAAAAATTGTTTTATAAATTTTATGTTTCGTTACAAACACTGTCGAAGTTAATATAATATTAAATAACTCACTGTCCTTTCATTCACATAAAATCAAGTCATTCAGTTTGTAAGTAAGACAGTGTTACTTTAGATGAGTTCAAAGCGAGCACATATGCTTATAAAAAGGCATTATTCCACAAATAATATTTGTTCCCATGGGGAAAATAAAGGAAGGCAATTTATAATAAATAATATTATTATGAATTACATTTTTACTTTATAAGCTTTCATTATCGCGTACGGTGATCGCTATGATCTCTCTCGGGCTTTTCTACACACGTATCAATTCGCTCACTACTTCATGCTTGCTATACATTTCCCTATACATATATGTTAACTTGATGGATGCAACGGGTAATCCTGTGCCAATCTCACAGTGTACGGAAACGCTCGGGTTCTATTTAAAAATGTTGCACAACATTAATATACATGGATATATATTATAGATATTTTTTTAATGGAGAAATAAATACGCGTCGGAGGAGTGGACGGGTTTCCGGGGTCGATGTCTATTATACCTATATACATTAAGTGTTATGTCTATTTGTTGTATTATAAATTGTAAGTAACACTATGGATAGTAATCTGAATTAAATATGCGTGGTCGGCAGGTGAGAACGACATCGAGGGCGCGTGCGGCGGCGGCGGCGGCGGCGGCGGTCAGAGCGACATCCTGAGCCGGCTGCTGTGCGCCGTGACGCCGGCCGGCTCCGACGGGCCGCGCGCCGCCCAGCACCACCGGGACCTGCAGGACCCGCAGCTCTCCACCGCCGCGCACACCGACATGCTGCTGCTCAACCTCATGCGCATCAACGGACTCACGCCCAAGCACACCCGACACGGTCGCTACACGTCTCACTACTGTTACAACAGCAACAGTTTGAATGTGTGCATGGATGGATGTTCGTTACGCTTTCACGCAAAAACAACTGAATGGATTATTAATGAAACTTTATACTAATATACCTTAACAGGATTATACGCAGGCTATAAATGTCACACGAGTGATATCGCAGGCCCTGTTAATGATATTTATTTATGGAATTTGATAATATATTGGACCACTTATTACTTGGAATTATAATGTTCATTTATGAATTTATTATTAGCTGTAGATTTGCTCTAAGTTATCAATCACATCCTTTAATTCATATTCGTCAATTCCTATATAATAAATGAATAGGAATAACTAAATTTTATCAGTTCTAACAATGCTAAGATGTTTTTTAACAAACACTTTGTTTTTGAATTTAAGGCACCTATCTATACGATATACCATCATATTTCAGTTTTACGAGAAGGTTTAATTTCGTTAACGATCGTTTACAAGTTTCGATAATGCCATTCGTTATTGACGGTCTTTATTCTCACAAATCCAGGTCCGAAGCGCAACTGGGCTTCGACGAGCGCGTCCCTGGAGAGCGTGCCGGCGCGGGGCCCGTCCTCGGGTCCCCCGGGGCCCGGGGCGCGGGCGCGGCGCGCGGCGGGATGGGGCGCGGGGGGCGCGGGGGGCGCGGGGTCCTCGCGGAGGCAGCCACGTGCGCCGCTGTCGCCCGGACAGCTGCGGCACCGCTCTGACTCGCACCGTCCCTCTGGTAAACGTACACGTTGTAATGTCTGTCTGTCGCTCTTTCGCGTCAAAACTACTGGAACCGGTTTAAATAAAATTTGGTACACTGGTAGTTTAGACTCTGAGAAAGGACATAGGATAGTTTTAATGGATTTAAAGCGGTGTGCTAATCCGCTAGACCAACGAGGCCCTCACATAATACTCACCATCGATATTAGAGACACATCTATGTAAAATAAATGTCAATGTCCCACTTGAACCTCGTTGATTGTGATTGTTGTATAATACTAATATACTAAAACAAGTTGATATTGCAGGTACAGCACTGTAACTGGTAACATTATTTGAAAATTTGACATTTACACCTGTCAATTTGATCTCTGAAATTAAAAAACAGACTAGAGATTTTATTTACAGTATAAAAATAAATTAAAAGTACAATATTTTATTATTTTGTTATTCTCCTCATAGCGTACGGTCCACGTGTGGGCCTGACCCCACCGAGTACCCCAGAGCGTTGCACCGTGTCGCCAGTATCGAACCTATCCCTACATGACTACTGGCCTTCGGTTTCATCCATCTCCGACAATGACGAGGTCGAACTCATTTTGGACTACAACGTAAATATGCCACTAACTTTATATATTCTTATATATTACTATTATATTATTAAACAATATTATCGCACTTTTGGGTAAAGGTCGTCACCATTTCCTTGTGTTTTTCTTTAGCCCTTATTATATGCGTTTTTGTCGACAATCTAAAGGCACACAATTTGTGAAATTCTTCGCACAATTGTTGGGAGTGATGTGGATTATTATTTATTACATATTTTTTATCGAATTAAATGTTATTTTGCTACGGTGCTGAAGAAGTTCAATCCAAAGATTTATATTATTTTGTTTAATTCCGTTAGCGGTATTAGTGCGGAATTAAAGAAAATAAGAAACCCATTAAGTATGTATTATATGATATTGTATTTACTAACACTATGCTTTATATTCATATGGAAATATGTTATATTTGCTTGTTATGAACTATCCCTATTATTCATGATGATCAGAACTTTTAATAACCCTATTTTATTTAGAAATGTTTTGAATTCTTTTGAGCTACCATAACTTGAAATAAAATAAAACATTTATTACTTTACCGATTAGGTAATTTATATATATCACAGATTTTCTCATGAATAACCGACAGGATACATTACAGCCTGCCATTGACATACTGCTTCTTATTTTATATTAATACTTAAATATAAATATATTTGTCTTTACAAATACCACGTGTTTCATGAAACAATATAATATATATAAACATGGTTTCATCCTATATGGATGTGAATATTCTGTTACAACGCTAGTGGAACCAGGTTTTTGATTGCATAAGCTATTTTAAATGTTCCCAGTTATTTATAATTTTGGATATTGTAAGACGATTACCATATAAAAACATTATGATAGTGTATTTACTATCATAATTGTAACTCATTTTATAATATCCAGCGTTATGGCTAACCCATCAGGGAAATAGTCGGAATGGTATGTTATTATAATTATTAATAACCAGTTTTTTTACTTCATAATGTTTTTACTTAGATTTCATTTTAAATTTATAAAAGAGAGACAGTGGTGTCATCACCAAGTTCAATCAAACATTAAAATATATTGTAACTAGAGAAAGATTGATCCTTATACCACTAAATATTCATGTATTTTTTACATCTTTCTTACTTAAGAAAATAATAGTTTTTCTATATGTTTAATTATTTAACGAAACCAAGTTTGGCTATTCTTTTTCATTATAGACATGAAGCTAATTTTCAATTATGATCTAAACACAAAATTCATAAAACTATTTTATTTATTACATCCTCTATGTTTATATTGTATTGTTATAATTTTCCACAAGGCCGGTCGGCCCATCTTGTAAATCGAGTGGTGTTAGAAGAGTACTACGTATATGTACAGGACACCCTGTTCGACATGCTGCTGAACAGCCTGTCACTGGAGAGCTCGGGCGCGGTACTGGAGAGCAGCGAGGAGAACGTGCGCCCACCCACGCCGCCCGTGCAGCCCTGGAGCCCGCCCGCCGCCGCGGGCCCCGCGGGCCCCGGGGGCCCCGCCGGCCCCTCCAGCCCCTCGGGCCCCGCGGGCCCCGCCGGTCCCCCCGCCCGTGACGCAGATTGACTATGTGACCCCCACGCCGGACACGCCTATCGCCGCGACTTACACGCCGCGCAGTACCCCTATCGTCGTGAATATTTCCATTGAAATTTCCCACTTACGGCCTGTGCAACCGACGGACGATTCCCGTCGTCCTTCTTTGTCCGTCAGTAGAAATCCTAATCGTATGTCCTCCATCCTTCGGCAACGATCTATTGTTTTAATGGGTTATTACACTGTCATATTCGCTTTTCAATAACTTATTGAATGGTTCTGTCGCCTGTCTTGTTGTTACTATCCTGTTCTTACACGTATATATTTGTATAGAAGTGACAGTGCAATAGCTGCAAAATATTCTAGAAACGACATCTGTACTCTCTTTTCTTAACTGTACTCCAAGAAAAGTCAGAGCAAGAGAATTTATTTCAAAGACTTATTTATATACTTCATACTTTATTTATATTTCTGCATTTCAAGTTAAGTAAGTAGCTAGATTTGAATGTTTAATGTATAATTAGAGGATGTTGAACACACAAGTCACTGTGAGTTGAAGAATTATAAAATCTGATATCAGATGACAAGTTTTGTGCTCTTTACTATAAATTAAACAGAACTTGAGTATTGACAGTTTTAATGTTTTAGTTTACTTCTAGAGTAATGAATAATTTTCCAATATTCACTAGGAAGTTAAATATTAGTTCTGCCACATGTCGTTGACTTCTAGATGTTCAATGAATCATTCGTGATTTTTCATGTTGATATTCTTAAGATATATAGATGTGAATAGAAGAATATTTATTGTACGCGACGACCGATAGAGTAGTGGTGGAAAGACGCAATCGTTATTATTTTAAAGGCAATTACAATCACAGAGAACTACAATTTATGATAGAATAAACATTTTAATCATCGGAATGGCAACACATGAGTGGTATCACGGGCGTCACGTGATAAAGTGATATCGTCTCTTCGCTGCAACTCTGTCGGCCTGTTGAATCTAACTGTAATGAATGTTATTTGAATGTTATATTATAAAAGTAGATGTCTTATAAGGTAAAACGTGCTATATTCGTGGGGGAGTATATGATATATATGGAATTAGATAGGAATTTTCAAAATTTTACGATCTCCTTTATGTTAGTTCAAATTTATGATATTTTTATGAGAATTACATATCCATGACTTTATGTTTGTGTAACCAGCAAACTGTAGCTCAAATTTCAATGAATTTATTGATCGAAGACCTCGAAAATAAAGATACAGGTTTTTTAATATTTCGCAAACAATAATAGCAAATATTGTTTGCATTATTAATATGCATTTATTGTTTGGGTACTCAAATTATTTTATTAGTTTAATAATTAAAAGGAAATCCCTTTTAATTGATGCTCTAAATGGATTTTATATCAGAGTATTTTATTTATCCATAGTATTTCTTTAGGCGTATTGGATGTTTAATAACGGCCTGAGATTTTTAAATGTCTATTTAAATTTCTATACATGTTTCGATATTTTCTCGTAGTAAATGTATACATAGGAAATCAAGTAGTAAGAAAAGTTTCGGTGTCTATTATGAGTCGAGCTCATAACAGTAGTGTCTATTTCATGATGTTCCGTGGTTCTATATGCTTGTTGATATAAACATATCTGTGTTAGCTTACCACGATGTTTATTAAATACTCCGTATTTTAAATAGTTCAAGTTGGTGTCAAATGTTCGGACATAGTCGTCCAAGTATTTAGATTCATTTAGTTATTTAGGTCGTTCGACTGAAGAGTTCAAAGAAGTGTGATTTGGTTTAGGTAAGACATGAGTATAGATTAGTATTCTTTTCGTTAAGTATCACAGACTGAAAATTCAATAAAAGGTAACAAACATTGGAGTCGCATATTATTATTATAATTGTATATTTTATATGTAGCAAATGTTATATTTTTTAATCTGTATATCTAAAAGTGTCTATGCACGTAGCGACAATTTGGAATGTTAGTCGGCCAGTTTAATCGTGCCAATGTTGGTATTAAACTCAACTCTACTCAACTCTTACACAACAAATTAAAGTTTTCTTAACACGACCTGATATAATAATTGTTGACATAATCTGAATTGAAATTCGGTACCCACCTGACACGCATGGTTGTGGAATGGATAGAACACACTATTTTAGCCCTGCAAATCGGCCGGACTGATCGGGTGCCAAATCGTGTCTTGCGTAGACCTTTGGACTGATGAATCAGGTTGTAGTTAGTTATCAAATAAATATTTAATTCCTAAATTGTGGTTTTAATTTAGTTCCCTATACGAAATGGTATTGGTAGTCCCTTTGGTAGAACTCGTGTCACCAACAATATATCACATTAATAACGCCACATACATTTTTACTGCCTTATTTTACCGATTTCATTTGAGCCGCATATAAAGAAGCTGCTTTGTTGAAGGTAATCATGTTATAAATTAGGGTTTGTTTTTCGACTCAGTCATTTGTTTTCGAGGTTTATATGCGCCACTAATTTTTATAAAATATCTCTTTTGGCATCTATGTTGGTTTAGATCTCTAAGTCGACACTGGTTACACGTAGTGGCCATTGTAATTGTTTTGATATTGATATTTTAATTGTTGTGGTGCCTAAGAAGAATGTGTAATTTAAATTACATATACATTTTTTTATTACGCCCCTCGGGCAAATGGTTTCTATCAACAATGCTTTTGCTGTTTAACTCCGTCTAAAATCAACAATCCAGTGGGCTTTTAATTACCCTCGGCTTTCTTACTTGGACTTATCTAAATTTCTAGTAAAATGCATTTGATGAAGTTATTAGGAAACAGCGCATTAAAAAAGGGTAAGGTTGTAGCGGTACAAAAATAATAGGGTGATAAAAGTAGACTTTCTCATATAAGGAAAGGAAGAAATATTATAATGCAGTAAAAACAATTTGTTATTGATTCAATATTTTATTTTCATTGCTCCAAAATATACACAATGACAATAATTGTAAATCTGGATATATCCATATTTGCAAAATGTCTTTAAGGTGTTTATTTAAATTTCATAGCTGATTACACGAAGAACATGAATATATATTTGAATACAAATCTCTGTAAGCAGACACACGAGCGGGGTCTCGCGGGGAGACGTGTCTTTTTATCAATCTAGCGCCGAGCTGCGCTCATTCACTACTCACCTACCCTCTACATACATTATAATGTAAAATTATTAAATTCACTTTCTACACTAAATTATATATTTACAAATAAAACTTTAAAGGAACGCTTTGCAAACATCCAACAAACTTGAGATCGTCTTAACGTAAAGATGGTATAAAATTTTTAAAAAGTTAAAGAACGAAAGGCAAACATTATTTTGCTGACGAAATATTTACAAGAATAATAATACAATTTTAAAAAGAAATATTGTTCCAAATCACATTTTACAGTTTTCGAAAATAAATAACAATCGAATTTAGCCTAAAATACTTCTTCTTTGATAAACAAAACAATAAAAAATAATTGCATTCAACAAAGCTACAATAACAAATTTAATATAAATTAATCTTAAAAGAAATGTACAGTTTTTACAAAGCTAAGGGGATCACTTTTATTTTTATCACTGTAATGTATTGTTAACGTCCGTTTGTTACAGATAAAAGACGTTACAGAATAAACATATCATACTCATTATAGTGAATAATTATTTTATGCCTAATAATTATAATTAAGTTGATGTATTGCATTCAATATTTACAATTATCATTCGTACTTTGCAATGTTAAAATCAAAGCCTTCACATGCATCATTCCTCAGTATTTTATGTCTCCGTTATTTAATTAAAATTATCTCATTTTATAAACATTAATCATATTATCGTTTTATATTTTAATAACGAGACAAGGTAACTTTAATATGTAAGATTATGTATTAATTTAAAATTGTGCATAAAATTTGAACCAGCTACAATTATTGCAAAGGCAAGTAGGTGAGGTACGCATTTTTAATATAGTATCATCAATAGATAATCAAAATTCTATGAAGACCTACAATAAATTCCTAAATGTACAATTTCTTACAATTAAGTGGTGTCACGTAATCTGGTCATTGTATTTTATATCCTATACCCTCTCGGGTACATATCACTTAAAATTTAAAAGTCCACAATTAGTCAAATTTCATTGTTTGTAGCTATATACTAAATTTAAACTAGTAGCACTAATCTATATTATGCTCATTAATTTGCACTTTTTAATTATCATGTTCCACTTAAACTCCGATATAAGTAGTTTGATACCTATAATGGGAGTTTTACTACAAATCACAATCGTGTAGAATGTGGAACAAAAAGACATTAGTACCTTATGTACATTTTAGTATAATGTGAAAGTGCACATTCGTGTCCATGATATGGTTGTATCGTTGATAGTACAATTAACCCTTGCATTCCGGTCACCGAATCGTTCCTTCATTCTGGTTCGCTCCGCGCATACATCTATTCTCATGTTAATCAGTTACATCATCATTCTTTGGCATTGTTTAGTGAGCTTGATTCTTTAGGCATTCACTAATTGTTTTCATTTCAAAAACATATCCACCCAGTCCTCCTTCACTACTTGTATTGCACTGTTCAAATAATAATAATATTGTATTGAATCGTTTACTTTGTTTATTCACACAATATGTGTATAATATAATAATAAAATAATAACCTATATATTCGTTAAACGTTATTACTTTTTTGTTAAGTCCCATGGATATTGAATTCACCATGCTGCATTGTCTTACGACTGAGTATTAATACAATAATACAGTTAGATATTTACGCCCTAATCTATTCAGTCAATTGAATCGAATCAAATTAATAGCCTCTCTCGAAATGAAAGCTTTGAACTGTTAGTATCGACTCGATAGGTACCTGGGTAAATGTAAATCAGACTTTAAATATTTTTAGATAGATAATAATAATAATATATACTATATTCGATTCTCGGTAAAAGTTGTGTAACTAACGGTAAACAGCGTTCGTTTCGTAATAGCACAAAAGGAAACTACCTAAAAACAGCACCAGCCGAGCGATAGGCACCGAAACAGATCCCACGTAACCGGTATCGTGACCGGCGAACGTATTTATAAAATATCGTCCTTTCAAGGCGGTGTGCGGCTTCACAGCATCGGTAATATCGGTCGCGCATCTCGAGCCGGTGCCAGACATAGCTTACAAGTATATCGACTATGCTTGGAGTATGTGTTCTAAGTTTCTTTCAAACATACGAATGGGTGCGTAGCGTGCTCCATTTTTCAAAGTAAAACATATCTGGCAGGTACTGTTTCGATTGCGCCAACAAATAGGGGTTCCACCTTTGGAACTATGTCTGGCTCCATGGTTAGACGGAGTGCGAGGGGTCGTGTCAGACGTGGGACTCGAGCGGCGGGCGCGGCGGCGGCACGAGCGGCGCGGGCCACACGCCGGCCGCCGCCACGCACGCCGACAGGTCGGGCGACGACGTGCGCGTGTGCCGCGCGCTCCACCCGTCCTTGTCGAAGTCCTTGGTGCCGCCCACAGTGTGCCGCCGCTTGATGCCGCGCTCCGGCATGCCGTTCTTGCGCTTCAGCTTCGTCGAGCGCCACGCGCCGCTCTCCCGTCGTCTCACGCCGTTCCACTCGCCCTTTTCGAATTTGCTCAGTCGCTCGTTCTTGTTCAGCGACTCGGATCTTTGCAGCCGCTCGACCCGGCAGTTGAGGCTCTCGGAGCGAAGCACTCTCGCCTCGCCGCGCTCGCCGTCCCTGTTCAGCGACTCGGACCGCTTCAGTTTCGCGCAGTCGTCGCTCCTGTCGCCGGGCGCCGGCTCGTTCTCGAGGGCGGCGCTGTTTCTCTTCCCGCACTCCGGGTTGGACGGTCGCAGACCGTAGCCCGGGTACAGCACCCGCTCGATGGTCTTGTCGTTGTCGGGCATCGGCTCCCCGCTGGAGGTCTGCGACCTCGTGTCCACGTCCTTCTCGTCGTCGTTCCTCGTCTCGTCGTGACTAGTCTTTTTTGGAATGATGCAGTTCTCCTTCTCGGAGTCGTCGGTGTCGTCGCGCGCGGAGGGCGGGCGGCGGTCGCGGCGCGGCCAGGCGCGCGCGTCGGGCTCGTCGGCGCTGCTGGAGGACGAGTGGCGCACGTCGCGCGCCAGCCACGCCGCCTTCAGCTCGTGCGCGCGCGCTCCGGGCGACACGCGCTCGTGGCGCTCGTCGTGCTCGTCGCGCTCGTGCAGACTGCTCTCGGACGGCGAGCTGCCGGTCGACTTCCCCTCCTCGGTTTCGTCCTGGCACTCGTCAGCGTACGGAATGCTGCCGTCGTCGAGCGGCGACGAGTTGTTAAGCGTGCGCAGTTTCTGGTCGAAGGTGCTGGTCAGAGATGACACCAAGTCCCCTGGTCCTATAACAAAGAACGTTACTATTAAGACGCGACGATCGTTCAGCGAGTGTTAAACACGAATACTCAAGCGTGTTAATTGTTTTGCGTCGTTAGATGAATATTGACAATCGATGAATTTAATGGTATGTACAGTAGGCGATGAGGTCGAGTCGAGCCTACTATATGATGCACGAGCAAATAAGCCGTGCTGTCAGCAGTCGCTCAAAGCGTTAGTCGTTGGGAACTGCTGTATTTGTTCACATCTATTTTTATAACTACATCCCATGAGTAAAATTTAAAGGTTAGTCCTTTTGTCAAATGTGTTAAACAGTCACTATCTCATTAATAATAAAAAAAACCGAAGCCTAAACTGTATCATATGTTTTTATTTAATTTCATTCTATGTATTAAATGATTGATATTAGACAAATACTATAAAAAATATTTGACTTGTGATAAAATATGTTTGCTTGTTTGTCGTTTCTACTGTTAATTCCCCAATAGTGCAGGTTAGGACAAGTCAAATTGTAACACATGTAAACAAATAAAGCGGCCTTGTTAACGGAGCCGTTGCGTACACGCACACACTTGCAAAACGCACGCTCTCATTCCTATACCTTTTATGTGGACAAAAGAAAGGGATTGCTGTGCCTATTCTCTGACGTCAGAACCGGACACCTAGTGGAGCAAATAAGTAGACAGCTTTTTAAAATACACACTATTTGTCTATGACTCAAGGAAATGTAAAAGAAATCTTATCTGGAATTTGGCCAGCTTGATATGGCTTTCCAAGTAGTTATTTATATTTCCAAAGAAAATTACAAGATAGACGTAACAACTATAACTTACCATCAATCGAGAAGTTGTTAAGCGCATGTGTATGCCGCGAGAGCTCTTGGCGACCGCGGCCCAGCGCTGTCATTGTTTCAATTTCATTTCTGTAAATAAATATATAATGATTAGTACTAATGTTATAGAGAAATCGACAAAATATAAATCAATAAGATGATAGAATAGATAGATACATAATAGAAACAATTACACTTTCTTTACATCGCGGTTTGACGTGGAAATTATATTTATCACCTTGCAATTTTACAACACTAATACTTTTTTGCCATTCTTTATTACTTAAGATACAAAGTTACAAAATTAATTTTAAGAAGTAAAATATAATTGTAAAACTTACTTATTGACTCCATCATGTCTGACGAATCTTTCAGGCAGTCCGTCGTAATCTGCGAGGGACGTGGTGAGGTGCGCGGGGGGCGATGTAAGGGGAGAGTTGGGAGGCGATCCTCCCGGCGATGCCTCTACTCTTTTGTCTGATTCCATCCATTTTTTATCTGTAGATGGTTTCGACCGTGGTTTCCGCTGGATTTTACGATTTGCCGCCGATATTATTGACGAAACTATGTCGCGGGTTGAGACATCTTTGCCTGTGGAATAGATATTATATAGTAGTGGAGAATTCGTGCATGGCATCTTATATTAACTAAGTATGTTCAAAAATGGTGCAAATAGTAGGAAGGACATTTTTAATATCGATCAAACTACATTATAATAACCACATTACATTAGATTTACACAAGAGCCTTGAACACGACCACAACTGTTTTGACACCTAATAATAGAGTGCGCACTTCACAAAAGAGGAATAAAAATTTAGGTAATATGGAATACACCACCGGGAATGTCAATTAGGAAAGTCAATTTAGATTATTATATATATTATTAAAAAACTGTATTAAATTAATACCTTCGATCTTCTTGACATTGTGTATGAGCAGGTCACGTGATGGTGCCGGCGCGGGGGACAGTTCCTCAGCGGTGGGCGGAGGGTCCACAGGAGGTTCACCTTCCTCCTCCTCGAAGTACCAATCGTACTAAAAACATGAAACAAAATGTAATAACAAATGCTTACTAATATTCTGATCAATTATAAAAGACTATGAACTGAAGTTTGTGGGGATAGAATCGTGTAAGAGAGAGATATAAACTTACATGTGTTAGAAATGATTCGATGATGCGACATTGGCTGGACATGTCGTTGACCATAGCGAGCATGTCGTCGCTGGCGCCGCGCACCAATGTCGGCCCAAACACTATGGCCAAGTTTCTCGCCTCCATTTTGTTATACGGGGAGTGTTCCACAACTCTCCGCAAATGCTGTATCAGGTACTTGAGTGTTTCGTAGTGAGCTTCAGGCAGCGCGTGTACAAGCCGGCGAAGCTCTCGTGCTCTCTCCGGCGACCGGTCGGCGGCTGCAATTTAAATTTAGAATTCATCACACGACCGGAACACAACATATTCATAGATTTTTTATGTCTTCCTGTAACCAAGAATATTTGTATGACAACATGGTCGATAAAACTTGCAAATATTATAGATTTCGGAAGCGACATTAGTAGTATTAATAACAAGGCATTGAATATTTTTATGTTGTTTATCAAATATATTATTACTGATTAGTTGTGTCTGTTTGTATACATTAATATAATCAATTAACTGGAAAAATATGTATGTAATAATATTAATGTAATAATTGTATAATGACAACAAAGAAAAACATAATATAGGATTTGTGGGACAACATATTAATCTATTACGAACAGATTAACAATAATAGATAATATTAATTATCAAAACTATGTATTTACTTCTTACACATACTGATTTGTCACTTTGAGACATTAACTTCCATCACGTTACCAGTATGCACTTGTAATAGTATTTTTTAAATGACGACTATCTCAAATGAATCCATTATCCTGTTTTAATTTAAAACAAACCATTTATTGAATACAAGAGCAATTCAATGTCTATATCAGTCAGAAGCAAATGATCCTTCGAGTCGGATATTACTAACCGATGAAAGAAGCGTAGAGGTCAGCGGTGAGTAGTGGGTCAGGCAGCCGCCGCAGGTAGGCCTTGAGCAGGCTGGAGGCCACGTGGACATCGGCCCAGCGGGCGTCGTCGTGCGGCGGGGGCTCCCCGCGGTCCAGGGCCGCCGCCAGCGCCGTCACGCCGGCCGCGTTGCCCGGCACACGGTACACGCCCACTGTCCGCAGACCGTATGCCTGCAATTTAATACACAACTTATTTCTATGCACAGAAAGCCTAATTTACATAAACAATTCACATTAAATTACACAATTATATGCGTTACATTGATATGTACATTTTATATTTGTAATTCATATATTTATTACATGGTCATGTTCGATGAGAATTTACGACAATGTTAGGATGAGAATAAGAGTCACGAGTTGAGTCTATTTTAAAAGTTCTTTTATCATTTGAAACATATATCATTACATCGACGCCAATTCTGAGCTGATGTCATTCTCCAAATTTCGTCATTATGGAGGCAAGTCAATATAACAAACAAAATTAAATGATTAATTTATCAATAATATTTTTTTAACTGATAGTTAAATCATAATCATATGATTACAAAATCTGAATAATTTTGATATTAGGAATATATAATATTTTATATAAAACGTATTTACGTTTTATTTAAATTTATATAAATTATAACCTAGTTATATCATGCAGTACTGTCTGGTTGATATGAATGGCATTCTATATAGTTATATTGTTTTCTATATATATGAGAATTTTTTAAATTGGTAAAGTAGTTTATCCTTTACAAATAAACAATTAAAACCTCTATTTAAAATTAGTTATATAGACAAAACAATATATTGTAGATTATTGTACCTCGACAGCATGTGCTGGTAGAGTGACCGCGCGAGGTACGAGGGGGTGCTCCGAATCAGTAGGACACCGTTCCAGAGGAGCCCCGAGCCAGCCCGTGGAGGCAGTCGCCGGAGCCGACGCACTCGTCCCTCCGTGCATGCGTCGCAACTGTTTCGCCATTCGTCCCTTCCACGTCTTGTTCTTGGGAGATGACGGGAGAGTAGGAGTAGGTGGCCCTGAAATAAATATGAAAATATTGTTTTATGAATATTTCAAATAATTTTAAAGATGCTAATTTTTGTTTCAAAATATTAAGGGGACCGACAAGAGGGCTTTGATCTCTCTTGTATACGCGAAATATTAAAAGAATAATTTAATAGTATTAACGAAGGTACGTTGGAAAAAATACGTTAATTTAAGGTAAAGAATAAGGAGAGTCGTATATAATAATGATCTCACTGGTAATCACAAACTATATTGAAGGCAAAGCCGTCGTATCAAAGAATACTAGTTAATAATTATTAATAGTTTATTTATTAAAAGTCTCACATATTATAAACGAGTTGATACATAATAATTTCTTCATTATATTTATAGAATGTTCCTAAAACCCTCCGCACTAGTTTTAAGACGGTTGATAATTTATATTTCGTATTCCCTTTTGGCAACAGTACATTATTTGGCAAATGTGAAATATCAACAACAGTTTTGGACTTTAACTATAGGCACTCGTATGAAGCGTGAAAGACAAAAACAGTGTAGGTTTACAGTATTTGTATATGTACACATTACGCCAATAACCATCACGTTTATTGTGTATGTACTATCAGCTGGCATTTATGTAATTACGAAGTCCGCGTTTTTCTGGACGTGTTTAGAAAAAAATGGACTTAGTCATTTGTATCTGATGTAGAGTATTTAAAAAAAAAACTACAGTTCGATTCCGTTTTTGAACTGTAAAATATTGTTCGATCCGAGTACTGTTTATAATTTAGACTATTTACACATGCAGAAGAATGGGTACATACGTTTATATAAAATAGAAAATATTTAAGAAAATAGCCTTTAAAACAGACCGTATATATTTTTATAATTATATATTAGAATTCTTTATTTTTTACGTGTGATTTAATAAGGTACCTGTATTATAATATATGGGTACATACCAGTGGGAGATCTATTTCTGCCGATCTTTTTGCTTCGCTGTGGTGGCAGTGGCGAGGGACAGTCGGCGGGCACTGCGACAGGAGCTGGTGTCGGCGGAGGGCCGACCTGCGCTTGTACAGAATCTGCCGGTGGCGGCTCCGCTGTGTGCCTTCTCAAAGCGGCTAGCCATCTTTGTGCATCCGCAGCGCCTTCGGCCTTTAAAACAGAATGCTCAAATTAGTATTCAAACTCATGAATTAAAACACGACCTATCATTTTTTTAACTACTTTTACGACTTTTGATAATTAACAACTAACCTTATTTAGTATATTCATTAAGGTTGACATTATTCAAATAGCTACAATTATTATAATGTGATATTGTATGACATAAACTTTTATTTTTATTCTTCTCATAGTCTTGAGTTCTTCTATATTATATTAATCTATTAACACTGTATACAGTAACGGAGTGGTACTTCATAATCACTCAGTTCTTGGTATTGCTATAAATTAGGTTATACATGGTTAAAGTTTGCTGGTGGCACAATTACTAATATTTGTTGAATAAATAATAAGGGTTTTGTAATTACAATTACAAAGGAAATAAATAAAAAAGATAAACAAATAATTATACCTACGGCATTAAACTTGCCAATTAAACATATTTATAATATTGCAATAAAGAATAAATAAATAAATATTCTTCACACATGTATGTTTTTTTAAGTTTCTGAAATCAAATCTCAAAATAAACAACTTCAGGGTGTAGTTAAGAGATTAGTTGCTGTCATGAAATGGATTAGTCAATAATGCATTTTGTATTTGTTTTAGTAATAATAAGGATAACTTCTATAATGTATATTAGAGCTGAACGCAAAGACAGAAGTGATTATAAAATGAAGAAGTGAATATATAATGTTCAATTTTCTCATTGTAGCTTGAGCAGTTTTCTAGTGTGTACTAAGTAATAGAGTTGTACTGGTACTATTAAAGAGTCTTGTCCATACCTGCAGGAGGAATTCGTCGGTGGCGGTAGTCACCCTGACCACATGTTTCCTCTTGGTGTAGTCGTCTGCCAACACCACGGCTAACGAATGGCGGACATCGAGAGCATCCCGGGATCCGTTCTGCGCGTCCGTACCGGAACCGGTTACAGCGCCAGGGCTCTGTAACAAACAAAAGTCATTTTAATACATGGCACGAACAAAACATCAATTCTAACAAGGATAAAAAAGATAGTTCAACGTTACAGACGAATGATCTGAAAAGGTCTACTTGGTTGTGGGTGGAGTACTTCCGGCATCATAGAAACTCTGTGACATACATGATTTTATGAAATATCTAAACGCTTAAGGGCCATACCTGGGTAGCCAATCATTTCGTCTTACACTTCTAAATATAACAGAACAGAAGAAGTAATGGGTAATCTGGGTGTTTGCTGGTAGAATAAATCAGTAATTTTTATACAAATGTATAAATAATATATAAACGATATACAGGAATATTCAGGATTTTTTTTTCTGAGTGTAAAAATGCTGTTTGTTTTTATAAACAATAAAATAAAGCGGCCACCCATGTAAATGTAAATAATGACGATGAATACCACTAATACCTAGTTGGTATATCTTACTTCAATACAAAACTTAGATCAATAGTTGACATACTTATCTACAGAGATAATAATACCTGAGCGTCTGATAAGCTAAACACTAATTAAAAATAAGACAAATATATATGATACGAGTCAATACGAAAAATTTGTGATAATGTCTTTAGAAACTTAGCTCGCAATTTACTGTATATTTAGAAATATTAAAAATCCTATTGATTTAATTTATAATAGGTAATTGTTAAATTAAGAGAACATCATCAAGAAGAACCTAGTTTACAAAACTTCAACTCTAATACTCTTAAATCTCTCGAAATCGCGGAAATATACAACATGTAGGTTAGGTATCGTTTTAGAAACAAACTCAGTTGGCTGACTTTAACACATGCGCTTAACTTTAATGACCAATCATCTAACGCTAACGCTGTATTGAGACGTGAAAACGGAACATGCTTCGCTCGTGTGCAAATTAATGCAATTATCGGAACAATTTCGAAACCAGTGTCGGACAAATCGTGTGAACCAAACGACACTGCTCACGGAACTAGCATAAAACGGCGGTTAGCTTTCACCCCCTAATTATAGGTATTACTTACCTCTAAAAAAGAATAGACGTGAATCAGACATGTGCTTAAAATGTTGCTTGTGCTGTTGTTGCTCTTATATGTGAGGCATAAGCATTAATCAAACGAGTCGACACAGAGACGGCGTCTGACGAGGCGGCGCACGCGCATCTACATAATATATTCCGCGTTAAAGCATGGTGCGAATTAATGAATACGTACCTCATTTACATAGGTTCACTGTGTTAAATGAAACAATTTATTAGAGTAAATTATGAATTATTATTATAATGTTAGACTGAGCTTTAAAATTGGTTTAAAGTTAGTTTAATATAGCAATACCGGTTACCGGATTTTGAGATAAAATATAGTTTATTATCGTAATCATGATACAGTATCTTAAAATTTCATTAAAATCCGTTCAGACGTTCAACATTCATATGGTAAATTGTCAACTGTCGGTTTGCACCATACTAAAGCAGTCGGAGTGTAGTGATAAATTCGCCGAAAAATAACACTGCAGTGTAAGTAAGTGAGTTTAGAACACCGCATTTAGTCATATGACTATAAATCATGTAGAAGTAAACGAAAAGTTAGGAATATTTGCAGTGTGACGAGTGAGATGACTGAAAGAATCAGAAAGGAGGGCAGAGCCATACTGTGCCCCAATTAAAGTGATAAGACTTTAAAGATGACGGTGATAAATCAGTAGTTCTATTTACTATTTAATTTCATGACTATGTTATTAAGAAAATGATTACTATCATTTTATAAGGATTTGGAATTGTACTAGATCTGCTTAGAAAAAAACTGATTACTAATCAACGACAAGAGTGAAATTTCAATTAACAATAGTGTGCGCTGGCAATTCCGCCATGCTGTATGTTGATGACTAATTAAGTAAAGCCCGCGGCTTTCCTCAGGTCAATTTTAATGAGATTCGTAGACTGGCTATCCTTGACCATATTATTATATATATTTCATCTAAAGCGAACAGATATTAGATAAAAATACTTACAGATAAATTCACTTTAATTTCATAAAATGACTAATATTTATGCACTAAATCTTATATACCATGCAAGTCAATCTTTGTTAATACTAACTACAACTACAAATTATAGATTAAGTAAACAAATATTGCTTTATATGGTTAGTATATTCAACATCTGTTTACAAGCCGCCAGCGACATCACTAATAGCATCGCGGAAATCGAAAGTGCAAACGCGGTCGCTTCTTCCGCTGCTTTCTTAGTGCCACTTTATTGCGGTTCACGCTTCACGGTCCTAGATGACAGTTTCAAATAGATAGCAGATTGCGCGATACCTAGTAAGATAGTCTCCAGCAATAGTATCGCATGAAGGGCGTTACTTGATGGCGCAATGCCTACGGTGGTATTCATGTATATGGCCAACGGTTGCTAAAATGTTCACACCTGTTAGCTTATTTGTTATCCCAATAACACAAAAAATATGATATAGTGCTCGACTCGAAGGGTATCACAGCATTGAATCCGATACACTCATACGTGTTTGATTTATTGCCATATATTCAAATCTAAATAATATGTTGAATATTGTGCATTACTTTTAAGCTATTGTAAAAGCAACAAACTGACAGCTCATCGTATGTTAAGTGGTAACTGTCGTCTATATACGCCTATGTACAGCACTAAGTTAACAAGTAGCAGGTTGGCGTCTAAATTAGGTAGACAGAGTTACCCACTAAGACAACTTTTCTAAAGTCTAATTGGTGAAAATCGTTACAATAAAACTACAATAAACGCTTAACCTCCCACTAGACTATCTTGAAAGTGAGAAGTGCTTTCAGACAACGAAAATTACCGGTTTGAGATAGCGCGACGATTCATTGCCGACCTACATTTAACGCTATCCGTCTATGCAATAACGAAAAAACAAGTTTGTTCGGCTGGCGACAAAATTTCACGATCGTAACCTATACACATCAAATGCAATTAGCAGGTCAACGGTCTCGCAAGAAGTGGCACAGTGACGTAACTTGCGTGTAGGCAGCAGAGGAAATATGCTAATGAACAATTAGCAAGCGGGTACAACCAGGATGCCTAGTTATCGAATTAGAGCTAACGATACTTTATAATCAGCGATTATTTAGAAAGTACACGAAAGAAATTCGAAACTATCGGCGTAGTAATTGACCCGATAAATATGTAGGCAGCGGCGCCTTTATCGACATGGACCTAGTGGGTAATAATGTATTACTTGTGGGTCAATTGCAGCCATGATCGTAATGGCGAGGCGTGCTGTGACGCCCTCGCTTTGCTAACATGTCGCGCGTCGCCGCTGTGAATTGTTCCTTATAGTTTAAGATGTCTCGACGTTTCCAATTAGTTGTCAATTAATTAATTGGCATGTCATCGTTGTTGATTGTGAAAGCTATGTAAACACTCGATATTGATATAGTGTTTTCACGGATTTCATCTTTAGTATTATTGTTTCAGCTTCTTACAAATCCATTGTTATGAATCTATGAAATCCAATTACTGTATTTAATTATAAGGATAAAGATTTAAATATATTTGTGCATTATATGATATTTTTCGTATTGCATCAACATAATTTATTCCTTAGGTATAATTTGCAATTATATTTTTATTGTGAATTTTTATCATCATTTACTTGTTGATAGATATATAGGTACCTACGTATTATCAAAATGTAGAGTCGTTGTCTGTTTTCCTTACTCTATAGTTGTTGTGTGTGACTAACACACGTTTGCGATAAGCGTGTTTTCAGTACTAATATATAAATTTTCATAAGTGTCAAGGAAAACCACTTTGGTAGGTATAACAGAACAGAAGTTTAAGTTATTTTTTTTAATTCCTTGAAAATTTGTATTCGGAGTTTTGGGACGGGTTTCATACAAAAAGATGAATGACCGAGTGACTGAAATACTTGAATGTATATTTGAATATGTATTTAGTAGCACTCACCAATAAATCGGTATACCAAAGCGTCATGTTTTGGCCACGCTCCACCGGTCACGTGGAGACCATATCTATCTTGCTCATTGTCGTAGCTTGGCACTCACAACAAATGCACTCCTTTCCACTTTCGTCACTCTTACTCCAGAGGGTTTTGCACCCAAACACTGAAAGAGGGCATTGCCCTAATATCTAATAGCAAAAACTTCCGAAATATATACAAGGCGATCAACAAACAGTGATGTATCTAGATTGGTTTCGATGATATTTTTATACAAATATCTTATCGCTTTAAATTTTGTCACACATAAAAGTAAACAAAAAATATTTTTATTAATTCGCGGAAGTGCAATGATACGCGAGCGGGCCGCACGCGCGTCTGAAGGACTATGACACACGGCCAGACGGCTGGTGCTACGATGATCTGCGCTTGCGCAGAGAAAGTGCTCCCGCGCAGACTCCGCGGCGTCTGCCAAATCGTTTTCACGGTTCACAAATTAATGGCTTTTCCCAAACACCAACTTGTCTAATGCCTTGAGGTAGACGTAATTGTGAATATTCCAGGAAATACTATGATTAGTAAATTTTTTTCCATGATTAATGATGTCAAATTTTTCATAACATTCTCTTATTTCTAATGGATGATCGTCTCTCAAAATATAATATATATTTTTTATATGTACAATAAATTTAAACAATGTATTTCAGCTATTTAAAATTGTTTTTTTCACCTATAGTAAGTTATACCATATGGTCTGTATTTTCTGAAATAATTTGAGCTTATCACCAAAATTTATTACCAAATAATGCATAGTTGAAGGCATCAACTGTGCATTATTTGGTTGATGCCTTCAACTATGCATTATTTGGTAATAAATTGTAGAACCTTATTCCAAGTTTAAACGTTGTAGTCTTTCGTAGATGAAGTTATAGTATTCTATTTTGATGGCAGCGTCTAACTTAACATAGGTGTGAAAGTAAGATAACTATGTTCTACAGCACGATCATCACGCTTCTAAATCCGTTCAAAT